ACTTTGTGGACGCCAACGTGCAGACAGGAATGCAGGTGATCATCCGTCAGTTACCATACTTCCCACAGCGTCACGTAATGTGGCTCAGTTAAAGCGTGGCAGTCGGAAGGTTCGACAGGCAAGGAAGAAGCGCTGGCAGATGTACAAGGTAATGAAAGGAACGATGAGTATGTGTTCACCATGAGGTCAGGAGAAGGTTTCGCCGGAGCACATGGATTGCAGACAGTGGCGCATCAACTCATATGGGCAATGTGGACGATGGAATGACTGATGTGGAAGAAATTGATGAAGGAATCAAGGTTGGAAGTGAGACAAGATCCGAGCAGTAAAAAAGGCACGATCAAGTTAACGGCAATGCAACGTGATGGTAGACGTATGACTTGACACTGTCGGATTACAAGTATGTCCCCAACCTGGGTGTATGTTTATTTAGTTTGGTCAAGGCAATCCAGAAGGTTGGCATCTCGAATAAAGAACCAAGATTGTCTTGACGCAACGCAACAAACGAATAGTCTTTGATAAAATTAACTCAACCAAAGACGGATATCTTGCGGATGATCTCTTCCAGGACATGCACAAGAGAGCAGTTACGCGTGCACGGATGACACGGCACTGAAGCGACTGAAGAGACTTCCAAGTGACACTGCGGATACACCCAAATCGGAACACAAGTAAGGTGAAGTACTGGAAAATCAATGACCTCCACAAGAAGCTGGGACATGCGAGTGAAGCCGCACTACGCAGGACAGCACATCAGTACGGGTGGAAGCTCACAGGGACATTAGAACCATGTCACTGTGGAGCAGGACGAGCAAAGCAAGCACCCGTAGCAAGGAGACTTCAACGACATCAGAGATCCCTGGAGAACGAATTTTATAGATACCTCGTCTGTGGATGAAGGCACGTCTACCAAGGGAGGAAAGTATTGGTTGGCGATCATTGATGATGCTACCAGTATGCGATGGAGTAGGATCATTCAGACCAAACGCGATGTCATCCTTAAAGTCAAGAACTTCATCGAGTGATGATCGCAGGGGACTCCAGTACACTACATCCGGATGACGATGCAGGAGAGAAAAGAAGCTGATGACGGAAGTGAAAACGCGATTGAACCATGTTTGAGACGGATTAAGTTTGAGCTAACTGGACGAGATAAACCTCAACAGAATGGAAAGTAGAACGATGGATTGCAGTAGGATCGAATTCGGCCATGTTCCACGAAGCCGTTTTGATGAGAAGCAACGAAAGTTTCTCTACGGAGATGCAGCATGCACGTCACTGACTTGAGAATTACTACAGTCATGCATCTCATGACAATCCAAGCTACCGCATGTTCTATGGAGAAGACATTCCACAATTATCCAAGTTGCGACGATTCGGAGAAGTTGGATACGTCAAGTTTGTTGGAAAGATCAAGGGAAAACTACAAGATCGCGGATTACCTATGCTGTATCTTGGAAGAGCACGGAATCACAGTGCAGACACGTACAAGATGTACAATATCGCAACAGGAGCACAAGTACTCACACGCGATGTGATCTGGATGGACAAGACGTATGCCGAATGGAAGGGTATGGGTCTACCCAGCACAGCAGAAGAACTCACACATATTGGAAAGACAAACTCCTCAGCGTCCTACCTACAGAAAACCGGGAATCGAACTCTCATGATCTGCTCCTTAAGCCACGAAGACTACCAAAGCAGGAGCAATACACTAGAACCAAGAAGATAATAAATTTTCTCTGCGATCCCAACAGCAAACCACCTGACCCGGTCGCGACAAACTATCCAAGGCAACGCGGAACTACAGAAACTCAGTGCGAGCTACAACCCCCAGGCCCTACAGACACTGGACAAGCTAGCGGCGGTACAACCTCATGACGGGGGCTCCCTCATGCAAGCACTTTCGGACGATGCATCCGAAGGAGGAGAGAAGATAACAGCTCAGCACGAACAACCGGAATACACCGCCAATGACAGAAATGGCAAACTTTTCGACGATTCCAATGACAGAACGTTTTGGGAACGCACATGAAGACTGGATGGAGTTTGGGTACACGGCATCAGAAGTAGATTTGACGGGAGGACTAGGACAGGCATCCATTGATCAAGAGACTCTCGCATATGACCCAAGGACTCAGGATCCAGCAAAGTACAAGTATCTGTTCACCAAGCCAAGCACGTTCGAGGAAGCTTGGGACCACCCGAACCATTTCAGCGAGAAGTGGAGGGAGGCGATCAAAGGCGAGCTAGACAAGATGGAAAACTCAAGGTCTGGCGCAAGATCAAGAGATCAAGAATGAGGAAGGGAGACGATGTGCAAACACAAATGGGTGCTGGAAATCAAGCGGAATGGAAGATTCAGAGCTAGATTGGTGGCCTGCGGATACAGTCAGGTACCCGGAATTGATTTTGACAACATCTACAGTCCGGTGGCTAACGACATCACCTTCCGCATCATCTTGATTCTACTCTAAAGAAGATGGGAAGAGCGAAAGCAATTATCTTCGATATTGAGACAGCATTCCTACATGGAGACATGGACGTAGTCATCTACATGGACTGCCCAAAAGGACTAGAACACCAAGACGACGAATGTGTCATACTGGACAAGACCATCTATGGGCTTGCCAGAGCGCACGACAGTACTACTTGAAGTTTGCGAGTGTCTTGGAAGACTTAGGATTCGTTACATGTCCTAGTGATCCATGCCTCTTCATGCGGAACAAGAACGGGAAGATATGCGTGATTCTATGTTACGTGGATGACAATCTCACCATTGGAGAAGAACGATATAAGGAAGTGCTTCAAGGATTAAAGATCGAGTTGAACATGACCATAGAGTACGAACTCACGGACTACCTGAGCTGTGAGATTCGGATGAATCCCGAAAGGATGCTGCATGGGTGGGACAACCCCACATGATTAAGAAGATTCAAACCACATTCGGAGAGGAGTACAGAAGCTACCCAAGTACAAGACTGCGGGAACACCTGGACTCGGAATAGTAAAGACAGACGACAGAGTGAATGGATCGCTGAAGAAACAACAGAGCAGATATCGAACAGGAGTAGGCATGCTCATGTACCTTATCAAGCATTCAAGGCCAGAAATCTCGAACGCGGTACGAGAGCTAGCTAAGGTCTTGGGATGCGCAACGCCGGCAGCGTACAAGGAAATGCTACGCTGTGTAAAGTACGTGTTGGACTCAAGGAACCGTGGACTTTTGATGAGACCAGAGAAGAACGAAGGACCGTGGAAATTGGAAGTATTCTCGGATTCGGATTGGGCCGGAGACAAGAACAACAGAAGATCAGTCACGTCCATGATGATCTTTCTCGAAGGTGTACTCAATTCACTGGAGGTCCAAGCTACAGAAGGTCGTAGCATTGTCGAGTTCCGAAGCTGAGTTCTACGCGTGTGGCGAAGCAGTGCGAGAGTCCCGTTCATCGCGCAGATTCTGAAGTTCCTACAGATCAAACGTGGAACTACTGTGCAAGTGAAGATCGATAAAGTAGGTGCTATCTTTATGCAGAGAACAAGACAAGTGCAAGTCGAACAAGGCATATGGATACGAGGTGGCACTACGTGAACAAATGCAGCAGGACGGCCTAGTGAGATTGATTTTGTTCGCTCGGAAGACAACGTGAGCGACATTGGAACCAAGAATGTCAACGTCGAGACCCTCGACAGACATGCACCGAAACTAACAGAGACAAGGAGCAATTGGTTTGAGTGGGTAAGAAGGTCGCTGCCATCATCGCGAAAACAGGAAGGGTTAGAAAGGTATTTTCGTTTGACGGACAGACGACTCGGGATCCACAATCACGGTTCGTGATTGGGGATGTGTGACTCAAATCAGATGGTTATCCGATCATCATCAGATGGCAGGTGTACAGGAACGAGGACAATGGTCGTCTAGATGATGCAACTACAAAGGTAGGAAGTTAGGCGAAGAGATGAATGCAAGGAGCGACGGGATGGAACAAATGAATGGACGGTGAAGGTCCATAGGTTTAGTAAGTGGGAAAGCCTCCAGGGCCAACCATGCACTTCAGGAAGATAGATCGACGAGATCTATCTGTAGATGAAACTGCGAGAAGCAGAGGATCGAAAGATCCTGGTATATGTATGCATATCGGAGCTCAGTTGTAGAGCTCACAATCTGAACGAGAAGAAAAAGAGAAAACGAAACGAATAGCCAGTCTACTAGACAGTAGAGCTGGAAGGATATTGATTAAATTAGAGAAATTGTGCGTTCAAGTTCACACCTTTTCAACACAATTGCAAACTTGAACTACGTAGCGTACCGCCTACTTTAGCTGTACCCATCGTCACACTACTTCTGCTGGATTTTGGATTTTTAAAATGCTGACAAACGATTGCGACGCCACCGGTACCTAGCTAGCCAACTGCGCTCCGCCAGACCTGAATTTAAGAAGCCAATGTGCAAGAAAAGCTAGCCCGGAGCTTTCAGAAGGTAATAAGAAATCATCCAACCTCAATCTTCCTTTTAGCTCCTGCCCGTAGTACCTGGTATACCCGTATCGCCAAACAGCACACAACATGTATTTGAACGCTTTGCTGTCTTACAGTCGGTTAAGTGAAATGGTGGGGCGAATCGACTTTCATTCACCTCAACCCTACCGATTCCGGTCTGGATCCCGCAAGCGATAAAGAGCGAGCACTTGGCCACGACGGTGTGCTAATTGAAAGATAAGGTATTTTGAATACTTAGTAAAGGTTTGGAGAGGAGTTGCGGTGAAGAAATGGGGATCTGCCATGGCACATCAAGTACCACTTACTGTAGATTCTGTAGTCCAGATAGGCCATTCTCACAGGTCTGTACGGCATGATGTTGCTGGCGTGCTCCAGATACCGAAGTACAGCAAGACTGCTGGGGTAAAACAGAATTGCAATGATCCATCCACTAATCGCAGCTTTCAGCTTACTTTCAAGAGAACACAGCATTTTAGCATATTAATAAAAGGCCGTCCACCATGAAGTTTGTTTCTCCTTTCACCATTATCACCGGTACCATCGCATTCATGGCCAAGTCCTGCAGTAGTGCTACTAACTGTGGTACCCCCGTCATGATCATGGATAACTTCGACGGTATTGGAGCTGAAACAATTACAATGACAACTGGGACAACCTTCATAGAATGCACTGTTTCATGCACATCTGCTGTTGACCTCACTGTTTTTATATCAGATGGAATGGGAAATCTCTTGAGCACCATGACAACCGCAGAAATGTGCGGAGACATCCTTCAAGCCATGACAACCCTGGCTTCTGTTAGCTTAGATTTTGATACAACCACCAACGTTAACCTGGTCTTCACATGCACTTGCGAAGATAGAAGCGCTGCTCCTTCTGTTTCTGCTGTTCCTTCTACGGTTCCTTCTTCTGCTCCTTCTGAAGTTGCTTCTATGGTTCCTTCTGAAGTTGCTTCTATGGTTCCTTCTGAAGTTGCTTCTGAGGTTCCTTCTTCTCTCCCTTCTTCTGCTCCTTCTGAAGTTGCTTCTATGGTTCCTTCGGAAGTTGCTTCTGAAGTTCCATCTGAAGTTCCATCAAGTCTTCCATCTACTCTTCCTTCTTCTGCTCCTTCTTTGGTTCCTTCTACTGCTCCTTCTGCTGGTCCGTCTGCTGCTCCTGTTCCTGCTCCTTCTGAACCTCCTACTCCTTCCTCTTGTTTTTCAGAGCAAGCCACTGTGCATGTGGAACAACCAGGCCAAGGCCAAGTACAGCTATCCGCCAAGATGACAGACCTCAAGATCGGAGACATGATCTTGACAGCCAAGAACCGATTCCAACCAATCTATGCCTTTGCCCACAACGATGCCACCACTGAAACGGAATTCCTCCAGATCCACACCACAAGTGGCAAGAAACCATTGGAAGTCACTGGCCAGCACTTGGTCTATCTGCAGGGCAAGGATTCCCCAGTCACAGCCAAATCCATCAAGGTCGGTGATAGTCTCATGGAGGCTGGGCAAGAACAAGGAGGACCTGCTGTTGTTGCCAAGATTGAGACTGTCCAGCGCCATGGAATCTATGCTCCCCTCACTCAGGATGGCACCCTTGTGGTGGATGGCTTTGCATCATCTTGCTACATTTCCCTCCAACCCAACGGTGATCCCCAAACCATGGAACTACAAGGCCATTCCACATCCATGATGTCTCACCACTGTGTTGCTCATATGCTCATGACTCTGCCTCGTTTGGTTTGTATCGGTGGCATCAACCCCAAATGGTGCCAGACATACAATAATGACGGTGTGACTGTTTTCGTACAGATGGCGTTTGATTTGTCTGACTGGTTCCATGTCCAGCACTGGGTGGTCCAGATGTTCCTTTTTGCTGTCTACTTGGTGGTCTTGTGTCCCCTCTATGCCATGGAGCTCTTGTTTGGTGCCAAGCTGGCTGCTGCCGTGGTGGTTGGTGGATTGGTCTTTGTGGGTTCTGTTGTCCATGGAAAGAATGTTCCTGCTGCTGTGGACCCAGCGGACTTGAACTTGAAGAACGAATAAGCTGGAAGCATGCGCAACATGTCCCAAAAGTTGTTATGGAATGCTCAGGGCCTGTGGAATCATTTGAAAACAAAGGAGCAACCTCATTCATGTATCTTATTAAAATCGCAGTTTGAAACTAACTAGCTAGCTAGAGTAATGGTAAAAGTGCATACCCGAAGCCCTTAATAGATTCACATCTCACAAAGTTCCTGCATGGCTATAGACTTCAAATAGTTGCATGCGTGCACGGAAGAACCTCTATGGACCTGTCGAGCTGCTCAGCAATCCCTGCTCCGCCTGATGGCCTTCCCGTTTGCTCCTGGTGATGGAGCGTGAGGCTGCAGGTGGTGGACCACAAAATGGCCTTACGAGCTGTCTGGGAGAAGAATTACGGTGGGAAGTCCGATGTCCTTCATTATGCACAAGTTTGACATTGTATCGTGTCCTGCCAGACCTGAGATACCGGTAGTACAACTTGGATGCGACGGGTTGCTGATGCCTTGCCTGCCAAGAAGGACGCTGTTGTTTGTTGTTTCGACAAAGCCTCGTTACATGAGGATTTTTGAATTCCTGACTCCCACGTTTCCTTTTCCAGCGATGATATGATCGTTGATCCTGACTCGGTCGAATTGGTGCCAAAGGAAGTAGGACGAGAGGGCGCATGATCGGTGTTCTCGTTGGTGGCGGCAGGCGTAGGTGCAGAGGAACACCACAGGACCATCCGAAGTCACCGCCCCTTTGGAGATCCTGGAGACGGACGGGGTGTTGTCCGAGAGAGTGTAGCGGGTGGCGTAGGTGACGTGTTGGGCAAAGATGGCGGCCTGCTCTAGGTCACTGTTGGTGACGTTCCCCTTTGGGTTGTCCGTGGACACTAGCTGAGCCTGCACATCCGGAGGGAATGGGTACCGCCACAGGTAGGGAGTTTCCTCCGAGTCAAAGTAGACGCCGCCCATGCCAGCCAGGTCGTGGTTGACGTGTAGGCCTAATGCTTGTGTCAGCTGCATTATGGAGCCCTCTGTTTCTGCCTTGGACGACATGTTATGATCACCATGGTATAAGTTTCGCTTGTCCACGAGATCCCCACCTTGTCGATTGATAAGTGGTCGGGCGGACCGACAGCCAGCCTCTATACTGGGATGCTGGGATGAAACAAACATGTACGGTCGATGGATTTCAGACTGGCTGTCACTCGGAAGTGTGTTTGAGCGTGGCACACGACTTTTCCCGGTACGCGCAAAACGTCAAGTTGTACGATGTTGGCTCTAGCTAGAGCTGAGCTGAGCTGAGCTACGGTATACGCATTGATGATGCTGAGTCTACCTGGAGGAGGATGTTTTAGTGTTGGGCCTTGACTGATGGAGGTGCAGTGATGGGGGGTACAGCCAGCCAGTGATTGATCACTCTGTTTGGCTCCAGTCTGGGCAACGCTAGCTTGAACCTTTCTTTCATTGATTACTCTTCGCAAAAGTCCTCGATCGTAGACAAACCATGCACTGATCTTGCCGTGACACCATTGCGGAACCGACCATGGTCCACCTTGTAGCTCTCATAAACTTACGGGACTACGGCCCAGCAACTCTGCTGTTGAAAACCTATTATAGACCGACTGCCAATGCCACGGCTGAGAAAGAAGGCTGGTGAGTCCGAGGGCTGGCCGTCAGCTCCGAAGAGGAACCCCCCGATGGCGGCTGGTTCAGCATCTGTTTGACGCCCAGAAAGGAATGAACGTCAGGCTGAAGCCAGGGTGGGATGAGCGGCAGATAAATATACTATTCGTAATCGGAAGCTCTGCAATTCTATCGTTATAGTCTTTCTATGCTTAGCCAGACAGTCTATTATGGCTGATGATCGTGTCATCGCATCTATCTATATCTTTATTTAGCTCACGCCGCCTTGGACGACACAGAAGAGGAGGATGACGATGGCGAAGAGGAAGACGGAAGGCTCCCTTCGCCCGCGAGCTGATCAATATCATTCAAGACGGACTGCAGGATATCATTGGGAGCACCTCCCACACCACCACCGCCACCGCCCAATGTCGACGACATGCAAGATGGAGCCGTGAACCAGTTTTGCAGGGACGCGGATCGTTGCACCAGTGCCCGATTGCCGCGAATCATCTGGGCCGCCGTGGTGGCAGGAAAAGAGCTGGCTCGTTTTTTCTGCCATTCCTGACACGCCATCGTTCGGAGCGTTGTCTCCAAGGCTTGATCTGGAAGCGATCCAGCTCTTTGACGCGAGGAAGCGTCGGGAAGGAATGGGCCCTGCGCCGGAGCTGCCAAAGCAAGTGTCTGCAAGTTGCTACTTCTGAGTGGGTGCAGGAGGTCGTACTGTTGAAAGTGACTGGGCCAGCTCTGCGACTTTTGAATGCTGCACGGTCTACCCCGCCTGGAATTCGTGCCGGTAGCATTGGAACGGTCGCTCTGGGACATGGACCAAACCGTTGCAAAGAGATCTTGGTGCTGGTCTTGAGGAGGAGTTTGGTGATTACTAGTGCTGCCAATGCTACTGGTAGGTAAGTGATCCGGCCAAATGTGGCTACTCTCGGAGGATTCCGCCTCCTCACTGGTAGACTCGGATAGTTCGTCGCAGGAAGAGTACGACCTGGAAGGAGGAGTTCTCAAGGTGGTTGCTTTGCGGGGAGAATCGTTTTGACGAGACGCGCACGCACTATCCCAGCGGCTAGTGGGACCTGCACTCGTCGTTGTGCTTGTGCTTGCAGTAGCTGCAGTGCTATTAGTAGTGCTGGAGGAGGCGGGAGGAGGAGGTATTCCTGCAGGTAGAAACAAGGGGGTATCAGTTGGGGGTATCCGTGCTGCTGCAGCAGCACCCTCTGTAGTCGTGCCTGCGCTACTACCCGTGGCATTGCTAGTGGTAGCGGCAGCAACTACAGAGGAACTAGCTAGGTAGGAACGTCTTCTCCTGCGTCCTCTGCTGCTAGCAGCAATGCTAGTATCGCTCTGTTGAAAGGCACTAGTATGCGTTCTAGCATGATCTTGGACCAGAGTGTACTCTAGTTGCACACCCTTCCCTAGCTCGTGCAAGAAATAATGGTTCATGGTTTTGTGGGCTTGTATTAATAGTTTGCTTTGGCGTTTTGCCGTTTTTGAAAATATGAGACCGATCAAGTAAGTGGAGACCAGGTTACATAGTACGGTACAGTAGGTATGCACAGACATGATGTGCCCGGGCGGAAGAAACTCGACGACCTGTGGCACACTTTTCGGGATTGCTAAAGTCCGAATGTCGCAAGAAGGCAGGCAGGATGCATTAGGATGGTCCAAACTGGTGGCCTTGGTAAAGCAGTAAGGCTTGAAGTATTCATTCATGTACACACTTAGTTGCTGTTTGTCGACTCGGGTGTGCTTCCCCAGTATTCTTTCTCATTTTCGTTTTGCTTCAGGAAGTCTTCAGGTGGTCTGGGACACGGCAAGGAAAAGGTAGCGACCAGTACACTAGCATCCTGGTGAGACGCCTCATAGTTACCATAAGGCCCTGCCACCCGCATTTATTGTTACCAAGAGCAAACTGGATATCAAGAAACCCCACAAGCAACCTCGCCGTCGTGGACCGAGATTTCACGACCTGTTGCAATAGGAAACTGTTGCGGAACTGAAAAGAAGGTACTAAGTAGTCGTGATGTTCTCTGTGGGACATAACATCAATCCACGTGAGTGTCCGATTTTGCCTGATGGATGAATTATAATTAGACGCAAAACAGAAAGTAACGTACCAGAGTCTTAATATGACTATAGTACTTTTCGGTAGCAAGATTTGTTACAACATCTTTATTAAGTAATTCTGAAACCAAAGAACTATGCAGTAGAAGTACTCAGTACCAGCTTTCCTATTCTCTGGTGATTCGGGGCTTTGTTCTTAATTTCGCGTTCGTAGATTCCACGACACGGCAAGAGGAACCTGAGATGGGGTCCTTGTGGTACCGCCAACACCAAAAGAATTAAAGATCCTTGTCAAGGAGCTGTCAATCAAGGGCAACAAGACCCTGGTCCCCAGTCAACGTGGTGGCTGCCGCATTTATGGATAGTAGAATAGGATTAGCTTTTTACGATTCATTCCATCACTGCTTCTCATTCCCCTTCACCCCCTTGCGCCAACTTCCTCGGAAACAATACGGTACCGCATCCTACCATCCTACCATCCTAACCATCCTACCAGTAACGACGTTGGGGCTCCAAGTTCTGGTGGTGATCTACGATCTCGATGCTTCTTGAGGCTGCTTGAGCAAACGGCAAACTGCCTGACTTTCTGCTGATGGAGAAAGAAATGGCAAGTTCATGGCACAGCTAGATAGCTAGCACTAGTCTGAGCAATACTGCTGACCTGTCTGTTTCTCTACCAACACCAACAAACAGCCTATGCTCTATGAACCATTGGCAGTCTAGCTGCCAGAGTGTTTGTTGACTGGAGCTTGCAGCTGGAATGGTTTCGCCGCCTCTCGTTCAAGCAAGCTTCCACGGTTTGGTGGAATATATGTGGATAGCTCTCCAGAATGTCCACAGGTCCTGAAGCGTTTAAAACCAGCCAGCAAGACTGCTTGTCGCCTAACTTGAACTCGTTCCCGGTCCAGAACCTGGGCGGCCTGGTTTGCCAAGAATCTCAAACTGCCACAAGCTAGAATCCAACCCGAAACTGAAACAAAAGATAAACCTCTCTGGTTGCTGTTGCCCGACTGACTGCACTGAGGAATTGAGGCCATGGCTGCTTCATGCTCGAGTCGCTCCATGGACACATGCAGCCAGTTCTTGGGATAAAGAAACAACTGGCTGAGAAGAAAGCAAGCCAGGTCTGTTCAACCCAACAGCTTATCAGCATGACTGCCACATGTGTCAAGAATGCAAGCAGCAAATCGCTCCTCGGGTTGAGTCAGCCGAGGTCTTGTCTGATATACCTCTACTATGGAAAGGAGATCTCATATGAGAGAGCTGCTTTGTTGCTGGCTTCTTCACACTCATCCCTAGAACACTGGAGCTGACCATCAGAAGTGGACATCATCTAACTGACCCCACAGCCAGCAGCCATCACCAGCTCAGGACTCAGGCTCAATCTTTGCTAAGTCCCAAACCCAGAAAGCTTAACAAAATTTGGGAAGCTAGCAGCCAACAGTTTCCCTCCAGCCATGGACAATATTGATCCACAGTTTGAACAAACAAGCACACACCAGCAACACACGCACCATATATAGACTGCCACATCAATCTCACGTACCTAGGATCCCGTGACCCTGGGATATCTCTCTTTTCCTACTACGACCGGTGTAGGCCTGTCGCCAATTTTCCATCAAGTTTCTGGCACTAAACCATAGCTACATCACCACTTGATTCTTACTAGTTGGGAGGTTGAAGGTTTCGACAACATCCCCCAATGGGTAACTCGTGAACGATTTTAAAAAGCTACATCCATCCAGCTGACCAGCAACCCAGGTCACTACACCGAAACACACTTACCAGGTCCAAGGAGTGCATGTATGAAGAAGCCACCGGCCCATGAAACATGAGCGATATGGTCAGTATATGGTCCCACTGTTCGGATACTCGAGGGCAAGTTGATAACGTTGTTTCTGGCTCATGGGCCTCTATGAGCTGCTGGCTGCTCCGACTGAATGTTTTCTGTTCCGTTGCTTCGGTAGTTACTTGGTACCCGACGTGGTAGCTGGCTCGGACAAACCATACCTGGGTCGCTCCCAGTCGAGTTGAACTAGCTAGTCATGTTCTTATTTGAAAAGTAAGAAATGCAGCAAACCGGCAGCTGCCAACTCAACTCCTCCTTGTGCTTGAACTGGTTGAACGAATGGAACGAGTAGAATAGAATCGGAAGCAGCATTGCAATCAGAGACTAATAGAGTAGCAAGCTGGACACAACTAGGTACGATAGGCAAGGATGACAGGGTAGATACATTTAGTCAGCATTCACAACCAAAACATGACACATGACATTGTAAGCATCCGTCCAGTCTGGACGAGAATCGTCCCACTAGGTTTGCTATGGATAGTGGTTGCAACTAAAAGCATGTTTGAGGCTATCAGCTGTCTATCTAGCTAGATACCACTCTGGAGGCGGAAGTTTTTACAGATAGTAAAGTAAGTTTGACATTCAAAGCCACCTCATTCATTCTTTCATCCTTTGCCTGAAAAAGCAGCAAGGTCAGGACCTGGTGTGCAATTCGGAGGAGTTTGTGACGGTGAGAGGCTCATCTACGATCGTCGGTGCTGCTCGTCAAAAGGGAAACGAGCATCTCACTTTCCACTTTGCTAGAAACACAGAGTTGTATCAGATTTAACGGAAAGGCTCTAATAACTTATCAATCGAACTCATTTCCCACTGGTATGAACCATCTGGTAGTCACATTTTTATATCAAACCTATCAAGAGAGGCAATTGGATGTTCCGTGGCTTCACTATTCCTTTGATACAACCTTTCAATGGGATCTTTAGTATATAGTTTAGTGTATAAAATCAGAACCCTGCTTTCTGGCGAAATAGATTTCACAAGGTAAAGGAGACAAGGATGACATTGGATGGAAGAATTGAGAAGCTATTGAGAGTTCTAGAAGAGATGTTGGAACATTTCGAATGTGGAGATGAAGACCAATCTACTTAACCAAAACGAACTACGTAAGCGTACTCCAGAGTAGGGTATAAAAGAGAGGGATTTACTGGGTTCGTCTGACTCAAGTTCTTTAATTCACCAATCCCCGGTTGAATCACTTGGATGTAAATTGAATATTTTTGGTTGTTTTGTTGTTATTGTTTCACGGTTCAAGTCATTCTTCTGGAGTGTCAAAGCAGTCTTTTGCTTTGAGGCTGCTTTGTGTACTACGAAGTACGAAACCGGTGAGGCAGTTCCCCGACCACTCGATATGGAAGTGTGGTTGAGGTCTTGGAGGTTCGACTCGACTCCACACAACCCGAAGAGTTGTGGCAGTGGCCTTCCCAACTAATAACTTGAATGAACCCTGGACTGATTTCTCTCATAACATTCAAACTCCAAAGCAACTACAACTTCTGCATTTCAAGCTACTTGCTAGCTAGCCAGCTATCAAATATATTTTAATCAAAAGTAAGCAACAGCAAGCAACATGAGCCCTTCCACTTCAGGTCCCTCTTGGCTACCCTTACCGTTAGGCAGCAGTTTTGATCTACTATCAGTGACCCTGGTAGCGGACAATGCTAGAACTCACGAGAGTCCAGAAACGTTTGAAGTAGTCTCTGCCAAAAAGTGTTGTTCTAGCTATGCTTGCTCTACTAGTACTAGTACTACCTGTGCAGCAGCAGCAGCAGCAATGAGCATTTGCAGATGGGAAAGTTGTACAAGCACCGGTAACAACACACACAGTACAGGCGCCAGCAGTAGATCTACTAGTAGTGCCAGCAAGAACAGCAGTTCCTCACCCAACAACAACAAGTTACCCAAACGCCCCACTCGCCGTGGCCATGATCTTCCCATGCGCTTGCCTTGTCGAACTTGCTCTCAAGAAGATCTAGAAGAAATCATGTTGCTGCCAAAGTTGGAACTCTGGAGTCGCAGTACTAGCAAACAACGAGGAGGACCAGCTAGCACTGGTACTACTATGCATAGCAGTACAAGTGACAGAGGACCCACCATGAGCAGTCGCAAACACCATCAAAAAAGTCAGACCAAGAAGAGCAACCGACGCTCTAGAACCAGAAGTCCTCCCATTCAAACTAAAAAGAGACAAATCTACAGCAAAATGGCATGAGACCATCATGCTGCTTGCTTGCTTGCTCGAGGGGATTATTGTGCGGCACTTTCAAAGGGGATCAGGGGACCCGACGCCTGGTGCATGTGCCGGACGAGACAAAAAGAATAAAGAATGCTGCCGAGCTAATAAAAAAGCACAAGTTTTGATCCTCTACTGCCATCTCTTAGTCTTTCATTCTTCCTTTTCCCCCAACAGCTTAGATCTATAGACTCTTATTAGTGCAGCCATGGTGCCCGTTTTGGCATCCGGATAGCATTGCTCTTGGCAGCTCTTGAGGAGCGAAAGCCTACAGTTGCTGCAAACGCACCTGACAACCATTGCTTATTAGTTTGCAACATGAATCCGCTCGGTTCAGGTGCATGATCATGCGGATTGTCTTGCTTTTTTTTGAAAGGGTGCTCGTGTTACAGAAGCACAGTAGCGCATGGATGCCATGGGTGGGCAGGACCCGGACCAACTCACCAAACCGCTTGACAGCTTTGTTGTTGTTCTACGAGTACTGTACTACCAAAAGATGCTACCGTATGGCAGCCAAGGATTGGGTCAAAACTGATTTCTTTGATGCAGCGCTTTCGGCCCGCTCAAGCCGCAACCACTGAATTGATAACTTTGCTTCTATTCTAACTGCATGGCGCACTATATAGGGTAGGTCTATACCGTACTGGCAAGAATAAGAACATGCTTGGTGATGGTGAATCGAATCGGTTGCTTCTTCAGCCACTCAATGGAAGTGCTGCAGGACGAGCGAGAAATCACACTTGCATGGAACCCGACGTTGCTGCCTGCTCATATGCATGTTTGATACCAGACACGCTTGGTTCCAGCATACGCTACAGGCAGACGCAGAGCACTCATGCAAGGAAGCAAGAGGTGATTTTACCAACCAACCAGCTAATACAGGGTCAACCAAGTCAAGCATCGGGGCGTTGCGTTTTGCAGACTATCAGATAGTCCATGCTCCAACTACTAGTGGCGGCCGGGAGTCTCAGGGAGAGCAGGCAGCTTCCGAAAAAGAAGGTACTACGTAATGGCAGCCACCTGGCACGTACGGCATCCCATTGCTTTCAATTTGTCTGATCGCTCGCTCAGCCAATGACCTGCACAACCAACAGGATGAGTGTTAGTAAGTTTGCTGCTTCCTTCGACCTGCAGTTGGACAAGTTGCTAATTCTTTGCTTTAATTGTACCGGCAGTCAAGTGTTCGGAAGAAAGCGAAAGCCCACTGTAGTTGAAGCCAATGCGGTACCACAACCACTTTTCAAGCACCAGCCAAGGAATCCTTGTTTGCTTGGTTGCTTCCAGTAAGGACTGTGGAAAGAAGCAAGAGCATGTTCTCCTCTGAGAGCGACAAGAGTTCAGAAATTGGTGGAAATGGGCCAGGTTGAGGGCTTTGACGAATTGAAGAATGAAGCAAGCTGAACTTGCCCAGGCATGCGTCGTACATTAAGGATGCTGGAGGTAACTTTAATAGAAAGGAAGCTGAGAAATGGTTGATTGGGCTACTCCCTTGGGAAAGAAGAATTAGGCAAAGCTGTACGGTACAGTCGTAAACTCTAGCTAGCAGCAGCGAAGAACATCCTTCAAAAACTGGTTGTGAGATTTTTTCCATGGTCCCGTTAGCCTTTTCTTGGCCTTCCAGTTCCTCGGGATTGCGAGGATCCAACAAGGAACAAGGATGCAAGCTGCGAAAGCTCTCTGTTATTGGACTAATAGGTCAGCAAATCTGAGCAAATCTCTTGTGGAAAAAAGAGAAGGAGGGTGGAAAAGTATAGCAAGAAGTTACACTCCCAAGTAAATTATTGGGGGCTCTATTAGGGGAGCAGTACCGGAGGGGGTGGTACGGTAGCGCACCCGAACATCCGAACCCCCATCCTCAACTTCAATAACAGCAAAGCATTAACAAGGAATCTCCTTCAATAATTCTGTGTGGGTCACAGAAACCAGATTTTAAATCATAGAATATGTCGATCTGGACTTACTCTACGCGCCTCTCCTTAGAGCATACTGGTACCGGTACTGGTACCAGGTACCGTGTGCTTGCCTGCTTCATGCTCACATCGCGCATCGCATGGCGCAACCGTAGTACTGTAGTTGCTTGACCTAATAGAAACCAAGGAAAGGGTCACTTCACTTCGCAAGAATGGTTTCAGAGGGATTCTGATTGAATCCCAAATGGATGATCTGATTGGGTCACTCGATCATCGCTCTTAGCTCACCTGAAGCAAACTAGCTAGACTAGTCTAGTCCTTCAGTTTCGTTTCATGGTCCAGAAATCTGGCCTAGTAAGCTAGCAACTAGACTAGTTAGCTAGAGGGTTTTCAGGTTGAATCATTCCTTGTTCATAAGGCCACTATTTATTTGGCTTCATTGCAGGGAGAAGTATCCGGTACCGGTACTAGCTAGCTAGCTGCTCATACGGAGTTCGGTTGGGGGTACAGGGGGATCCCAACTGTGGCTCATCAGCTTTCGAGAAGAGTTTTGTCCAAGAGCATCGACTTCAGCGCAGGATTTAACGACTTCAAAAACGAGTACAGGAGAACTTTCAGCGAAGCATGAGTCTAAGTGCATGGCTGAAGCGGGATCGTTTAAACGCGGCAAACCACTATGACATTGTGATCTCTACAGTACTGTATGGTATGGAACGGTACCGTACAAAAGGCTTTCGGTATGGGTTAAAATGCGTCGTTTCCCTGGTTTTGTCCATGATTTGAGTAAACCGATCAGACCAAATGAGAATGAATCTGAAAGAGATGACTTCGTTTTGAGGAGTGCGAAAGAGCTCTACTGAAGTAGCTACAACTATAGCCAGATCAATGCCCATGGGTTGCGCAGCCTTTCCTCTACGCGTAACGCTGTGGAAGAAAAGCGGGATCGGAGCCACAGCCAAGGCGAAACCTATGCATAGCTACTAGATGGCACTGGATGTTGGGCATAAGTCTAAGTCTTCCAAATAGGCACTCTTCTAGAGTCACCTGCCAAAGAGTTCCAGTTTTGACTCACCCACCTAAGCCTACAGTAGCATCGTAGCTGTAAAATGGTTGTAGCTTTTAGGTTTCACCGTCATTCACAACCAGTTCGCAGAAGCGCGGTCTCCTTGCAGCTTGCACGGCAAGGATCTGGGTCCAGTCGAGGAAAGTTACTTCCGATATGAATGGTATAGCGCTTCGCCGTCTCACAATTTATAATCTGAACACTTTGAATTCGATGTCTTGCGTATACTATTTCCCTTGCTTTTATCGCACTCCGCCACTGGACCCCATCGAAAGCACCATGGACTCTTTGATTGCTGGATTCCCTGCTTTCTCGACCTTCTCCATTGAGGCGGACAACGCCTGCGGCCACGAAGGCCCCGCCCCTTGCACTCGTAGCAGTACCACCAGAACGGGCAAGAACTCGGAGCCAGAGACGGAACAATGCCACGACTTCTGCATTCAAGATGGACGAACCGATAGCAAGGGACCTTTGTTCTGTCGCTGGGAGAGCTGCCCTCCTCACAACTCTCAGCAATCAAGGCAGGTTCAAGGCAAGCCAAACTACCAACGTCGATTACCACCCAAGCAACCATCCCGAAGCACAAGGGATGCTCCGTTACGAGTACCGCGTCGATCGGGGTCGGGGGACTTTGTCGCAACGGGGGAAGATGATGCCCCGACTATGCCTCGCCTGGAACTATGGAGTCGAAGCACCAGAGACGGTTGTCCTTCACGAGACAGCCCAAGAACGGGAAAACGCAGCGTCGTGGTCGGCCAAAGACGAAGACGACGAACCAGAAGCCCACCCATTCCAGCAAAGCAGTACCAAGTGTTTAGCCAGAGCGCATGATCAGGCAACGTGCGTGCTACTAGGCCACAGCTTCTAAAGTCTAAACAGCTACTAGTATGTATATTACTCATTCAACTGCATGCTCTATTCCAGATTACGCTTGAACGTGCAGCTCCAAGCATGCCTAGATTCTCCCCCTTCCAGGTAGCTACTCGAGCCCAGGTTGGGCGAGGGATGCACTTCTAGTCAGGACAGGTAGCTTGTGGCGTGACAGGAAGCCCCGGAAAGATTCGATTCAATCAAAGTTTCAAAGCTACCTAGCTCATCTTCTTGACTCGCAATGTCCCAATGACATAAGGAAACGACCCACTGTCTATTTTGTTTGCTATCGGAGCGACACGCATTACATATCCAGCAGGAGAAGATAGTCAAAGGTCGAGAGTCCAAGGTCAGTCCCAGCATAGTTGCTCAGCATACATGCGAGATCTTCTAGTCACCTGCCTTTTCTGTTCTGGGAGTCATGGCCGAAAGCTTGATGGGTTAAGCAGAAGACCCCATGCTGGTACATGCTGGTACTGATGAGCTAGGGTATCAGCTGGGGTTTCACCAGAGTGAGAAATGGCGACCCGAGAAACCACTGGTAATACCTACAGGCTTGTCGCCATGACTTACGACGGCGACTCGACTCGATTCCTCTCAGGGCTGGTATGAACAAGCTTATGAACAGCCTAAGGGCAACCACTGGGGCGATGCTTTGCTCAAAACAGCTCTCATGATCAGCGCTGCAAGTTGCAAGCTGCAAGGTGCGATTCCTAGCTCTCTGACTGGCTGATAGACAGATCCCTAGTTGGCCACTTTCCGTGGGAGTCATTGCGTGGGAACCACTGACTCTTGAGCTAAATCCAGGGTTGCAAATCAAGCGAAGGCGCTCATTCATCATTGCCATTTAGATTCTTTTCTTCTAGTTCGCCTCTTCCCGCTGTGGCAAGTGTAAATCTCCCAGAGCAGCGGCTTCCTGGCGGTACTCTAACAAGAGCGGCTTTCATAGGAATGCAAAAGGATTACCCCAGATGCCCTAGTGAGAGCCAATAGAATCCCCATGCAGGAGCATGCCCTCGGCGATCTACAGCACTTGAATACCGGTATCCTCCTACCTTGATGTTTTTGTTCCTCGGCTGTTTCGCTGTGTGGCATCGGCGAGGTTTGCCATACAAGCCAAAGTTTGCCCAATCCGTTGCTGTCCTGGACATCTACAACAATGTCATGTACTTCAGGTTCCAGATCCGTAGATGTGACAGCTACTAGTATACTCTCTCGACTCCCGATAGTCAAAACAAACAGTTTCAGCCGTGGGGGAAGGAGCCTGCAGCCACACACCCGATTTATCTAAGACCAAGGTTTCTGTCGGCTTTTCTATAGCTCATGCCCCTGGCAGATTAGGGATGCCGTCTAAGCTCGATCCTTTAATTAAGTCTCTTGGTTCTGATAGCGAACAAACATTGCCCCTTCTTGTGTGCGCCTCCTTTCTCCTTCTTACTTAAGGAAAGCGGTATTGTAAATGGACCATTGGTTTTGGTAATTAAAGGAAAACTTCACTTCGTTCCTTGGATTCACCATTGAATAGCTAATGTGATTCCGTGAGACTTAAGCTGGATCCCTGTACCTCTCAGTCCTAAAAAAAGCCCCGACAGAAAATGACTTGCCTTCAAGTTCCGGCATGGTGATGAATATGTCCAGGATAGACTGATCTGTGTTTGTTAAGGACGATGATGCAACATCAGGGTCCATGGTGGCAGGATGGTGGCAACAAGGTGCACAAGGAACCAACTGCGTCTGATCCAGAGTGCACCTTTGCACTCAAATTCTCAAATGATTTATGGATGAAATGCAGATGTGTAGCGGGGACTGAGAATGAGAGAAGCGGGATCATTGCTTTATCTGTGGCAAAGGAGAAACGTGACTGGTGTGTACTGGATGCCATTGTAAAGTAACGTGAACCTCTTGACTTCGAGTCTTCGTAAAAATGTGATTCTTAAAACCCACGCGCATCAAGAGAACAGCCTAATGTTCAGACTGTCTCACGCTACACGCTACGCACTGGCACCTAGAACAAGGGCCATAGTCCCAGACCATCGCGGCAAACGACGGCGAAGTGATAGAAGATCAGGCCGATGGCGATGGATGACTCTCCGGTGTCAGTCTTGATGTGTTTGAGAAACTTCGCCTCTCCTCCTTCTCACAATTTCTTTCTGAGCTTTCTCAAAAAGCTACCCCACCTTAGCTTAGAATATACCCAATCACACCAAGATGTGCAGCATTCAAGGATTTCCCTCTTTTGCAGGCTTGACTCTAGTAGTGGACAATGCCAGATCCCACCAAGCCCCCACTGTGATTACCGCTACTACAACCGCTAGCAGTCAGCAACCAAAGACAAAGCCCACTGGCAGCCCTAGCATGTGCCGCTGGGAAAGTTGTCCCGCAAACAAGCAATGCCAACGAACGGCCTCTCCCAAGCCACCTAGCCGTTCCAGAGATTCTCCCCTCCGCCTTCCTTCTCGAACCTGGTCTTCCGATGGTACTACTACTACTAAACGTACTATTAGAATGGAAGAAATGGTCCACAAATTGCCATCTCTGGAACTTTGGACTCGCAGTACAACATGTAGTACCGGTGCTGCATGCACAAGAAGTACCCACACCTGCGCCCGCAAGATCAGCACCAGTCCCTGCACCAGTCGTCGCCGCCGTCGTACCACCGATGCCAACAAGAGACGACCTCGCAGTCCTACTTTGGCCTAAGGCAGTCTAGCTAGCTACTACGCAAACGGGGTGCCAGGGGGACTGGGGGTGCAATTCTACTTACTAGACAATCGATCAATGCAGTTTTTAAAAACTTATAATAGAAAACGAACAGACAATGAATCCAAAAGGAAAGTCTATGTTACTCGGAAAATTGACTGCTTAGCCTAGTGACAATCAATAGTGGGTGGGGGCGGCATACACTCGGACAGGTCCTGGCACAAATAAATCATCCAGGCAAAAGAGCCAGACTAGGCAGTTCGGCCAAGTCCATGCCGTTGCGTATACAGGATTCTGCGCGTCGAGTTGCACCACACAACTTAATAATTCAGGCCAAGCAACAGTGACAAGTCGTCTTGTCCTCGGCCTGCTAGCTAATATAGTAATACGCTCATCAGCCTACCTTGGCGGCAGGTCCGAATGGCAGAAAGAGAATGGAGTCAAGATTCATGAACCATTGCTTCCTTTTTTTGAGTAGTACACAAGTTTGGATCGCGTACCTGCATGCCTGGATCCGCGAATCAAAACACGCTTTCTCATAGCTACAACAGCCAGTGGCAAGTACTGGACACCATTCAGTTTTCTTCTGAAAAGAGATATTTTACCTGTTCCACCATGGAACAGTCTAAACACAAGTAATCCGTGGATCAATGTTCATTCCTTCTGGTACCAACACGCACTTACCGTATAGACACAACAGTTGCTGCAGTTCTCTTCTCAAACTGATGATGCATGCATTAGTTGGAAGAACACGCAGCCACAATCATACATATCCACACAGCAACTTGACACTGAAATCAATTTCCAAGATGCAGGACCTGTTGCTTTCTCGCACCATGCCCAGGGGACACAAGCCACCAAGTAGACAGTCAAAAGGAGCAACTGAACCACCCAGTGCTGGGCATGGAACCGGTTGGACAAATCAAACGCCATCTGCACAAAATGAGCCACCCCATTGTCATTATATATGTCTGGCAAGCAAAATTCTGGGGTTGATCCCACCCATGCAAACCAAGTGAGGCAAGTCATGAACATGTGAGCAATATGGTGGTGAGACATCATGGATGTGGAGTGGCCTTGTAGTTCCATGGTTGGGGCATCACAATTGTGTTGAAGGAAATGGAGCACGATGAGCGATGCAATGCCATCCACCACAAGAGTGCCACATGGAGGCATTGGAGCATAGATTCCATGGCGCTGGACAGCCTCAAGCTTGGTGACAATACCCCAACCTTTTCCAGCCTCCATGAGACTATCACCAACCTTGATGCATTTGGCTGTGACTGGGTTATCCTTGCCCTGCACAGAGACCAAATACTGACGAATGACTTCCAATGGGTTCTTGTTCTTGCCACGTGTGTGGATTTGAAAGAATTTGGTCTTTGTGGTGGCATCGTTGTGGGCAAAGGCATATATTGGTTGATATTGGTTGATATTGGTTGTTGGCTGTCAATACCAAGTCTCTGATCTTGACTCCCGTCATCTTGGTGGGTATGGTTCCTTGACCTTGACCTGGTTGCTCCACTGCCACGGTGGCTTGCCCAGAAAAACACGCGGAAGGGGGGGCACGAGCAGGAGAAGGAACGGGAGCAGAAGAGCTGAGATTATTGCAATAACACCTAATGACCAGAATCATGATGCCCCGGTTGTTACATATCTTATGTCTAGACTCTGTCTAGCTTAGCCTCTCAACCCTATATTTAGATCTATTTCTCCGCCTCTTCGCAAGAACGAGCCAGCCCGCGACCGTCTCTTTTCATAACAATGCCAACTTCTTTCGCTGCTTTGTGCTGCGCAGCTTCAACGTCAACTTCAGCTCTCTTGATGAGCATCTCCCTAACAGCAGCGTCAAGTTCTGCATGAACTGTTGATATCTCGGGGCCAGCGGAGATACGATACTGTACACTACCAGGTACCAACAGGTTGTCCCAACCCCATTTGATTTTGAACTTGCCTGGTGAATTCCTCCGAAGCTCTGCTGGCTGAGAAAGGACAAAAGAGCTATTCAAGGTCGCTCAGTTGCCCACGACTTAAGCCGAACGGCAACTCTGCAAACCTTCTGCTAACAGGTCAAAAACCCAAGGAAACTATAACTTTGCAAGACAGGTTGTGGCCTCGCAGTAGCCACAAAGCAAAGGCGCCAACTTGGGGGAGGCAGATAGACTACGGAGATCTATCCGATCTTCCAATGGTCCAGCTGTTCAGCTCTACAGGACGGTCCTGTATCTTGTGCATCCGTCACATACTGCAAGGGGACCGGGTCTGTATTCGCTCTTGCTTCGTTCCCTTTCATCATGAGTACCGGCACCGCCGCGAGCTCGCTATTGATACACGACGTTTTTGCTCCACAGCTTTGATATCCGCCAATGCACAAGTTGCTGAAAGTAACTCGTGCTGCTGCCGGACTGTAGTTGCGATCGTACTAAAGAAAACTGGCTGCCACTGCACTTCGTACCCCCGCTAGCTGGAGGAAGTTGTTGGCATAGCAAGCATCGCTCGTTGCCTCGATGCTGCCCTTTGACAGTGTCGATTCGATTCGATTCGATATCCAACTCAGCGCTGGACACGGCAAGATTGAATCATTCAATCTTGGAGGCCAACGATATGTGACACAACGAGGATTAGTAACAACGAGATTATGCTCTTAATTCCCAACCTCCACGTTGCTATAGTTCCTACCGTTACCCATCCACCATCCAGCAGCTAGCAACTAGCTAGGGATTCGTTTATGGCTGCTGCGTTGCTAGCTAGCCACAGCCTGCAGCAACCCAGTGAGCTTCCAGTACATGCAACAGGATTCATCATTGGCCTGCTAGCTAGTAGAGCTCCTTTGCTCTTGGCTATTGTAGATTCTTACGATGTTGCCAACTGCTGTTGGTACCTCCAACAATTCCGTGTCACAGCCTGCAACGAACCGGCGAAGGCCGGTCAATTGCCGAACTGCAATGATCCAGTGACTCCACAATCGATGATTGCATCTCCCCCTCCTCGACGCGAAGAATCCAATCAATCGTGCTGTAAACTGAGGTGCGTTCCTAACCAAACTCCATGTGTGTCCTCCGTGCATACGCGAAACACATTTATTTTCATCGATTTATTTAGGCGTACGGATCAAGATTTCATTCCTATCCATGTGACACACATACGCGGTACGCGAAAGAAACACCACCGCAAATCCCCAACTCTAACGAAAATCACCGATGATTCGATTCGATTCGATTCGATTCAGTAATTCGAATCGAATCATCGAATCGAATCAGCCGGGATAAACAGCATCGTTCGATCGAAGCTACTAGCTAGCTAGTAGTAAGACCGTACTAGTACTGTAGCTTGGATCGCTGTTATCTCTACCATACGTTCATTAGAGTTGGGGATTTGTGACCGTGACTGAGTTCGGCTGGCTCTAACGTTTTGATTGGTCCTACGCGAATTCTTTTTTCTCATTAATTTTGGTACGGCGAATTGAGAATGCAAAATTGCAGATACGCCGTACCAAAATTAATGAGAAAAAAGAGGGAAAGCCAGCCGACTTTAACAGTTATCTTGATTTCGCGTATGCACGGAGGAATAAAGAGGTCAAAATGACTGGTTAGGAACGATCCTGAACCAGTGCATGCAGAAGCGCTTCGTTCGGATCCTGCCAATCACAACTGTGACTGGTATTATCCCGCGGTACTACCGGTACTACTTACTTGAAACGAATGAGATGGAAGGCTGATGCATGAGAACCAGCAAAGCAGAAGAGCTCTCATGCAACGCCGTTTCGTTTTCGAGCTCACAAAACAAAATCAACTCGACTCACAAACTCACAAAGCGAACAAACCCACAAGTCAACTTACAAACAAACAAACAACCGAACGAAACACAATGGTCTCTAGAACTGTCTCCGCTCCCCTTTTGAAATACCGTCAAGCCTTGCTGCTGGACAGCAACAGTAGTTTTGCCATTCCCGACGACTTTGAGGTGATCAGTGCCAAGATCACCAAGCAATGCCTGCAACACGAGGGGCCCCTGAGGGTCAGCACAACTCTGAATCATACTACCAGCAGCGCTGCCACTGATGGCACCCAAAAGGTCCAGCTGCAAGAAACTACTAGTAGTACCAAGAAAACAACAATGACAGCCCCAAAACGACGCAAACGTCGTGTTCAGAGCGGACCCGCCGTGCAAGACCTTCAGCGCAAGGAGGATCTGTACACGGCCCGAATTCCCGTCATGATTCAAGACGAACGTGGCAACATGAAGCTCAGGACCCTGAGGGAAAAGAAATTGGAACAGACCCTGCACGAAATTGCTTCCAAAAACAGTACCAGTACTCAACAATAGCTACCAGACTATAATAGCTACATTGTTGCAGTGCGTGTGGCAGTTGCAAGTCAACCAACGCACAAACAATAATAATAATAAGATAATGCTTTTTGGTCAATATCCTTGGTCTCTCTAATAAAGCTACCGGTAGCAATCAAGTAGATAGCCAGCTTTGGTCGTCTGCACACGTACACTGCATGCATGCTGAACCTGAAGGAAGCCCCCAAAAAGGAGAGCTCCTCTCCTAGCTGATTCGATTCGATTCACCATTCCTTTCTGCCCGGGTCGGCTACAGGAGGAGTCTTACGAAAGCAAGCAAGGATTGCGAAAGCAAGGATAGCCAGTCAGCTCGAATCCAATCCGGAAGGGCTACATTGGTTCCGTCAAGCCAGGATAAGCCATGAGTCCCATCTGAAGAATAGCCACATCTTTGTGAAGTTGGCGTGGCTGTTGGTAGCTCCGGGTGTGGCTGGTGCCAGCCATTTTCTTGCTTGTTACTTGGCTTCCGCGGAAAGCATAACGTGTCATTCCATATATCGTCAGGCATACCGTAGCTAGTTGTGTTGAGCCAATCTAATACGGTAGCAGACAGGTCGGGGAAAATAGCCCTCAATCTCTCTAGCTAGCTAGCAGCAATCTAAAGCGTTTTGGGCTCTTCCATCCGGGATCGACCGATTGCATGATCAGTCCTCGATCTTTGCTGCGGCCCCGCACTCGCCTTCTCCATGAATACGAGGCTTCCCCCAATCCAATCAAGCACCATCGCATCATCGCCATCATCTTTTTTAAGCAAATTGTATGTTAGTCACGACAAAATTTGAATGATTAAAATGACGCCCTGTTTGACGGCTTGCAAATCCGGATGCAATGCTTGCAACAGATAGTACATGGCTGTCAAGAAGGTTTCCAGGGCTGCTGCAGCTGGGATGTCAACACTTTTCCGTAAAGTTTGGTGCAATCAATGGCCAAGACGTAATGATCCATCTCGTTGCTGCTGGTGTGGTTAACTTGATGTACGATAAGGATAGGTAATGATCGACCGGGAAACAAATCTTGCATGGACGTTTGCAGCGCCTTTTGTGCTTGTGGGAGCGAAGTCTTTAGGATTTTGTATTCTTGACAAAAGTACTGCAACTGACGTGCTCGATCCAAGGCTGCTGCGACATTGTCTCGATCGTTCTACCAGAGCCAACTGCATGCGCACAGACGAAATCACTCACAGTGTCAATTTCGGAATCCGCCTCGATCGCTGCCTGGATGGCCAATGCCCACGCAAGTTCCGTGGGAGTCAATCGCATGCGGGGATTTGTGCTGGCTCTGCTAGTACCTGAACTATTACCGGTATGGCTGTCATCTGCATTGGCTTCTGGATTCATCTTGTCTCCTATTCTATATACTAGTATGACTGACTGTCCAACTTGAATGCTATAGTGCTAGAACTAAATAGCTAGCTAGCAACGATGGGATCATTCGGGGTTGAGGATCGGGCGAGATACATGCATGTACTTGTAGAGAGTTCGAAGAGGTGAAGTATCCAAGTTTGCATCCAACACGTCAGAATGACATTGCAGCTGGTCCAAAAGGAGAAGTCCTTCAGAGTATGCTTCTGGGTGTTCCTCAACGGTATGTTAAGATTTAAGCGCGGATTTAGGGCAGGACTTCTACTTTAAATCCTGTATGAAACCTCTTCCGAACTGCTCCTCCCCGATAGAGACAATGAGTTAGCCCGAAACAACTACATGTACCGGTACGCTCCTCTATGCTATGAAACGGCGCAATAAGACAGAAGCGAGCTGCTGCTTGAAAATGTATACATGTAGTTAATTAAAAGTAGAGATTCATGGCATGAACTGCCTGGCTACAGCTGCTCCATGACACCAGTGCCATCACCAACATTGCTCAAGAATACCTTCCCAGGGCCATTCTCCTTCCCAGACAGGACGGATCCAGCTACAACAAAGCACCCAGGATGAAGAACACCAGACACACAGACATCATCAATGGTAAGCCCATTACCATCAATGTAGTGGCCATTCAGACTAGAGCTGTCCACAACAACTGTGCGTCCCTGGAAGTGCATCTTCCCATATTCATAGAGAGCAATGCCAAAGTACCAGAGATCACCATCCACTTTAGCACCCATGAATTGAGCATAATAGGCAAACATGGGAGTACCAGAAAGGAGAACTTCCAGCAAATTCCAAATACGGAAAAACCAAACATGATTGATGTAGACTCCAAACAGACATTGTTGAAGATTTCTGGGCAACTTCAACATGAGCCATTCAACTGTCCTGGCAGAAAGAATCCACACGAGAAGCAGTGTGAAAAGAGCTGCAACAAAACAAGGCATGGCAATCCAAGTTGAGGATGTAGTTTGGGTGGCATAATAAACAATCTCATAGGAAGGTATGAGGCTTGCAAAGAGAACCGCGTTGAGCACTTGTTGAGATAACTCTGGAAGAATGATGTTCATGAGGATGGATAAGTTCAAATTTTGCGATGCTTCATTTACATCATAGATGCTGTCCAACAAATCAGTCCTTGGTGGAATCATTGATCGCACTATCTTGACACCAGAGTGAACATTTACATGATAGCCAACGCTGCTATTGACGATCTCAATCTTCGAATCAGCTTTGCAATCAAACTCAAATGTGATGGTCGCTACGAATGACTTGCGGATCTTGACAAAGTCAACCCTCGAGGGAGACAACTTGGTGTATGGGTTGATGTTGAGCACTGATGCCATGTCAACATCAAGACCATGGAGGAAAAGAATGACACTCCAAAGCCGCGACTGGCCAATGAATGGAGTGATGGGTAAAGCAGCCACACGGAAGTGGAAGTCACATGCCCAATTGGTTGCTCGGCGCCAGAGGGTTGCTTCATATGCATCTGCTGGATCCCGCTTTCCAATAAGAAGCCATTTGAGAGGAATGCTTGTAAGGAGAGCAAGAGAAGAGGAAGCCGGAATTAGCAGGAACCAATGGAGAATTGTGGCATAGCGCCATGCAGGCAAGACCAGAAGCAGCAGGGTGTGGACCAAGTAATAGAGTGCAAAAAAGTAGTATACTTCAAGCAGCCTCCATGCGATCTTGAAACTGCCCAAAAGAGAATCCTCTTGCGACTTTGGATCTCTTTGTATGTGGAGTCCAGCATTGTATGCTGGGACTCCTCTGGCAAGGACACCATTCGGGATTACAGCACCTTCTTTCACAGCAGTCAATTTGTCCACCTTGCTGCCTTCTCCAATCTTGACTCCTGGACTGACCATGCCAGAAATCTGGCAGTTCTTGCCCACCACAATTGGCCGGAAGGTCAACTTTGTACTCCCATCGCTATGCTGGGAAAATTTTCTGCATTTAAGGGGGTGCCCAATTGTGGCATTCTCGCCGACTTTGACAAGGTCGAATTCCCGGATATAGGAGTTGATCTTGGCAGACCATGCCAAATCTGCACCAAGGAGCCAATAGAAGATCCAGATGTATCTTGAATCCACAACAAAATGTCCCAAGAGTGACTCCCAGATTTCCAGGAGTCTGTCAACAAACCACCATCGGATGTACTTCCATGACAACAAGTCTAACTGTCGGGGTTCATAACATCCTACCACAGCATGCTTACAAAGCACCACTATCACTGAGAAGGATAGAATGAACAATGGAAATAGCAGGGGTAGAATAATCCCAATGAAGGGGAAATTGCATTCTTGGACACCATCTGAGTCACACTGATCCAATACCCATGATCCCAGGTAGTAGGACGGAATAAATGAAAGCAAGAACAAGGACAGTATCACAAAGGATCCAAGTGCCTGAGCAATGCCGAGTTGGAGCTTGCTGCATTTTGACCTGGAAGTATGCCACTCAAACTCATGGTTGCCAATGGCATCCTCAGGGAAGCTTTGGCCTTCTGAAGACACTAAGAAATCTGCAAGTGCTGTTGGGGTAGGATATTGCTGTTCAAAGTCGGTAGGAAGTGAAACATGGAACTCTTCCTCCACCGAGTTCCTCAGTTCGGCGCTTTTGAGAGATGTGAGTCCATTCTCAGCCCATGTCCTGCATGTGTCTACACCACCCCCAAGAACAGACGAGAGGAGAATGCTGAACCTGGATGGAAAAGTGTCCACACTTTCATCTTTTTCCTGAAGGGACGATCCAGGTTCTGCAATGGAATCATCAATACTGGTTCCCCATGCCATGCCATGAGGTGACCTTACTGACTGCTGCATGATCTCACTTTTGGTTCTTTCTGATATGTCAAACTCACGAGCAGCAACTTCGTTCCGCTGGAATTGAACTAGTATGGAAGGCTCCTTCCAGTCACCAGCAATAGTAGTATGCTTGATTTCACTCCTCTTCAGCTTGCCAGATGTGGTCTTTGGTGTCACACCCAGTTTCAGGACCAGAACCTCTGTAGCATACAATCCATGAAATCTAGAAACATGGTTGGCTATTTGGACAGCCAAATCTTGATTTACTGCCTTTTCAAAGCCCTTTCGCGCCTCCACAGTGATTCCAACGCTGTCCTCCCCGTGCTGGAATGCAGTGGTTCTGCCTGGACGGATAATGTCACCAAAAGCTTCATCAATAGAGAGCTCCACATCAGTTGGGTAGTAATTCTTTCCATTGACAATGATCACATCTTTGACTCTTCCAGTCACATAGAGCTGTCCATCCACAATCTTTCCCAAATCACCAGTGTCCAACCAGGTGCCATCATAGCTGGCCAAAGCATTGGCAAATGTAGAGGAAGTGAGCTTTGATTGGCCATAATACCCAGCTGCCACCCGTGGTGATTGAGTCCAGATGGATCCCACCTCACCATCCTCAACAACCTCTTGTCCATCCTGAACAATTCGGATCTTGAGACTTGGGGAATCTACTTTGCCACAAGACACAAGCCCTTCTTCACAGTGTATTTTGGCTGGCCCCCCTGTGACAAAGACCACCATTTCAGCCATGCCATAGATATTGTAGACATGCTCAGGCTTGATGGAGAGGGTCTTTGCTACCGCTTCCACAACATGGCTTTGTGCTGGTTCACCTCCGAACATCGCCGCCTTCATGCAACTCCAGTGGGATTTTCTGTTTGCTTGCTCCAACCGCTTGAGGAGCAGGGCATAGGCGAAGTTGGGTGCTGACGTATGGGTAGCTTTGTATTTCTCCACCATATCAGTCCACAGCAGTGGTTTGGCAATAAAGTCTAGTGGTGATGCCACAACCAGTTGACTGGCAGTATAGAGGCAGGACATAAATCCTGTAAGCCCCATGTCTGTTAAAATTAGGAGCAAGAAACATGAAGGGATCAAATCAGAAAAATAAGTTGTCACTGCAGTGATGAGCCATGAGTCACCAGCAAGGCTTACCATGATATTGTGGGACCCAAAGAGCTGCCACAGACGCAATATTTAAATCAGTCAAGGAAATGCCAGCCGTGCAGGTCTCAACTAGATTGTTGTGAGTGACCATAACTCCTTTGGGGTGCCCAGTGCTGCCAGATGTGTATTGGATGAAGCAGATATCGTTGGGTTCTCCCAAAAATCTCTCATATGCTGTCGTAGTGTTTGGGTTGTGTTTCTTGATGGCAAGTTTGTCAGTTCCAATCCATGTAACACCAGTCTTGTAGAGGACACTAGCTGCGGTCATGCCAGTAGCAAAATTGTTAGTCGAGAGAGCAAATTTTGCTCCAGCATCCTCTGCGAATCTGCGGAACTTGGGCATTTCTGTCTTAAGCTGATTGGGATTGGGTGGATAGATGGAGCAGGGGATGACTCCAATCTTCATCGCTCCAAACATGCCAGCCAAAAACTCAAGGCCGAAGGGGTAGGCCACCATGACCCGATCTCCTTTCTTGCATCCAAGCTTAAGCAGACGCGCAGCCACGGCGTTAGATTGGTCCTCTAGCTGTTTGAATGTCAATTTGTTTTGCTCTTCACACTCCTTATCCACCCAAGTCAGGACAACCTTGTCGGGAGTCTCAATGGCATGATGGTTGAGGGCCTCAAGAATCGTAGAGAAGCAATGCATAGTTTCATCACTTCCTCCTTGGAGAGCAGTTGTTAGGTGTGTTGGTCGTCTGTTGCGGTTGTCGTCCACCATGGGAACTGTTTGGTCATTTCGCTGGAACTGTACAAACATAGAAGACTCATTCCAGCCACCAGCCATAGTTGTCTGCCGGATCTCACACCTCTTCAGCTTGCCAGATGTGGTCTTTGGTGTCACGCCCACTTTTAGGACCAGAACCTCAGTGGCAAACAGCCCATGGATCTGGGATACATGGTTGGATACTTGAATTGCTAAATCAGCATTTGCTGACTTGTCAAACCCTTTGCGAGCCTCTACTGTGATGCCAATACTGTCCTCTCCGTGCTGAAAGGCAGTGGTCCTTCCTGGACGGATAATGTGACCAAAAGCTTCATCAATAGAGAGCTCCACATCTGTTGGGTAATAGTTCTTTCCATTGATAATGATCACATCTTTGACTCTTCCAGTGACATAGAGCTGTCCATCCATGATCTTTCCCAAATCACCAGTGTCTAGCCAGGTACCATCATAGCCAGGCAATACATTGGCAAAGGTAGCGGTGGTTAGCTCAGACTGACCATAGTATCCAGCAGCAACTCGGGGTGACTGGGCCCAGATACTTCCAACTTGTCCATCATCAACCTCTTTTCCATCCTGTACAATTCGGAGCTTGAGGGTTGGTGAGTCGACTTCTCCACAGCAGACGAGACCTTCAGAGTCTGGAATGGCAGGTCCACCTGTAAGCCACACAACTGACTCTGCAAGGCCATAGAGGTTACAAACATTTCCTGGCCTGACCGATAGAGTCTTTGCCACATCCTCAACGACACTTTTCTGGGTAGGTTCCGCACCAAACCCAGCAAACTGCAAGCAACTCCAGTCAGCTGTCCTGTTGGCTTTCTTTAGTTTCTTTACGAGCAAGGCGTATGCAAAGTTAGGGGCACATGTATGCGATGCCCGATATTTCTCAATCAAATCGGCCCAAAGAATTGGTTTGGATAGAAAGTCCAGAGGCGAAGCCATGACAAGGATCGCACCAGAATACAGGGTTGACATGAAGCCACCCACAAGTCCCATATCTATAAGAAGATTGAGTGAAAGGATAATTGTCAAATTCTTGGCATCCATGGCACAAATATCAAATAGTGGCTTGTTTCTTCAAAACTAATCTTACCATGATATTGAGGCACCCATGATGCAGTCAGTGAAGTAGAAGTAAGCTGGAGGGAAGTGCCAACAGCCCTGCAATTCTCAGCTAGGTTGTTGTGGCTGATCATGACTCCTTTCGGACGTCCAGTACTGCCTGACGTGTACTGGATAAAACATATATCTTCTGGCTCTCCTACAAATTTTTCGTAATTTTTGGGCCTTTGGGGGCTGCTCTTCTTGATTGACAGTTTGTCTGTTCCAATCCATGTGACCCCAGTCTTGTAGAGGACACTAGCTGCGGTCATGCCAGCAACAAATTTATTGGTGGATAGAGCAAACTTGGCTCCAGCATCCTCAGCAAATCCGCGGAACTTGGGCATATCTATTTTGAGCTGATTGGGATTGGGCGGATAGATGGAACAAGGGATGACCCCGATCTTCATAGCACCGAACATGCCCGCCAAAAACTCGAGGCCGAAAGGGTATGCCACCATGACACGATCTCCTTTCTTACATCCCAATTTGAGCAGACGAGCCGCCACGGCATTGGATTCATTTTCCAGCTGCTTGAATGTCATCTTGTTTTGCTCCTCACATTTGTTGTTAACCCATGTAAAGACGACCTTGTCAGGAGTCTGAATAGCATGGTGGTTGAGGGCCTCAAGGATGGTTGAGAAGAATCTCATTTTGGCTTTTTTTTCTTGGTCAATATGGCTTTGTTGTGTTTGTTGCTCCCGATGGACCTTCAAGTTTTGTGTGCAGCCTTGACTAGCTAGATAGTGGACTCTCTTTCGAGACACTTGAGCTCGAGCATCGCGGCGTGGCGAAAGGTATGGCTGGCCGCGATAGCGCTGCCAAGACTGCGAGGCTTGAGACAGCGAATGAACAGCCACATCTTGCTATTTGTGTCCTGGTCAACATAGCATACATCAATAACTCCTCGAGCCTTCCACCTGTCCTAACCAATTGTGCAGCCATTAACGCTTCTGCTGCACCTCCAATCTTAACCTTCGCTCTTTCATCGATCCATCTGACATATGGTTGGCAAGACTTAGTGAGAAGGCTAAAGCCCCCAAACGGAAGTTCAAGCGCTTCGGTTTTCCATCGCGGCAAAAGCTGGAATGTCAAAGAAATTAGTTCAATACTCCACTATTTATTTAGTACTAAAGGTATGCGCGCGAACACATTTAAACATACACCACTATGCATACTCGTACAGAGTACAGTAGTACTGTACTAGTATAGATATTTAGTACATGTAGTTCTTTCGCAATAATTCTATTGCTTCCCTTCTGACGCCCTTCTTTTTAAAATTGGTGCAGGATTTCCGCTTGACTCTTGTAGTCTATCGTGCTTCTTTGTTTCGGGCTTACCGGTAATTGCTCTTCAGGGTGAAAGCGGTAGAAGGCAGTAATGTGATTGGCTAATCAACCTAATACGTCATGAAGTATGTCGCAAAAATTCAAATATACTTAACGTACCATTTATAGTTATTACGGATACAGTGTGCTATAAAGTTCGAAATTTCCTTGTTGTTTTCCGAGAAGAAGAAGATTCCGTGGATCGATCGACCATGACAACAACAGAGCCACTCGACAGTTATCCAGAGCACTCGACAGCCACTCGACAGTCATTAAGCAGCAGAAGAGAGCAGCAGAAGAGAGCATCATGGAGCCACCAACAGCAGCAGCAGCAACAACACAAAATGAAGGGATGGGCTGCCAAAGTCAGAATAGAAATTCCCAGCAGAAAAGAGCATATCAACTCGCCTCCAACAACAACAACAGATCCAAGAGAGCCAGAGAAGAAGGACCACAAACAACGCTGGGAGGAGAGGTAGCAGAAGTCTTTGATCCACTCAAGAAGTGTATCATCTGTAAGGCCAGACATCTTGGTCTCAGAGTCCCAAAAAGATCACACCACGTTCTCTGAAGTAACAAGAGGAAGAGGAGATTTGAATGAGCTGACAATGGAAACCATCAGAGAGAGCAGAAGACTCACAAGGCACTTCAGTGCTCCTCTTCCACTGAATGAGAGAGGAAGCTGGAAGCATCCACAAGAGAGAATGGAGAGCATTCTTCACTGCTAGAACAAACACAGCAAACCAAAGAGCGGCAACAGAAGACATCACAACCAACACAATCCAGTGCTCTTTGTCAAAAGGTAACCACTCTTGTAAACGATACTGCCTTTGTGGAAAAGCACAAGACCAAAGGAGCACCACTGCAATGCTAGCAATGGCAGAAGCTGTGTCAGAATCCATTATCAGCCAAGGAATCCACAATTCCACCAACATTTTGAAGGACTACCATGACAGTTCCATCCACAGAGGAGCAATTCAAATCTCCCCACTATCACTCTATTGTTGGCCAGAAACTCCTCTTGTGGACTGGAATCGATGTGGTATTGCTGTGTCTTGTCCTGATGGTAGATGCTCTGGCCAACTCAAGAATGAGAGGCATAACTGGTCAAGAACAAGACCTTGTTCCTATCTTTGGCATCACTGGAGCTCCATCTTGGTGCATTGTCATGTCAATGAAGTGTGAGTGCTGCCAGAGGAGGTTTGATGCCAACAGTGCTGAAGTCTTGTGTACTATTCCACAGCATGCTGCTCTCCTCTATCCTGTGGAGTCAAAGTATGCCTTCCAAACAAGGCATGTCACCTGGACAGAACTGCCACTGAGACTTTCGAATCCATCATGTTGACCTATGGAAATGGAGAACTCTGCAGCCGGCTCATCTACAATGCAATCAACAGAGACTTCATTAGGGCCATGACATCATACTTGTCCTATGGGAGGGAAGTGACATGATCCAGATCCCTTCTTCAAAAGGATGGCACTTACATACGACATTTCCTCCTCTTGGTGACACCATCGTGACATCTATGATGCTGCTTGTGCTTAAACAGGAATCCGTGGAGAATCAGTGACAACCAAAGGCACAACAAGAGAGATCCAAAGTTTCAAGTGCAACAAAGGAATCTCTGCCAAGACCATATTTCAGGTGATCAAGAACTACTCCAAGAGTCTGGTGCTGCTGCTGTTTGGGATGCTGCACTGAGACTGGAGAGATTGCTTCTGCAGTTCTGTTTCCCACCACCAAGACCATCCACTTCTCCCATGCAGCCATGCAGCTAGCAAGGAGGAGCCACTTCAACCAGCTGCCATGTACAGCGACACTGGCCCCACAGGATGACTACTGGGAGATACTCTTTCCAGGAATCGAGGGAAGACTTGGCCTGTTCCATTATGAGAAGAGAATCCTGTCAACTTTGAGAAAGGGACACATTGATTACTTCAAGCACTACAGACCTCTTGGATTGCTTGTATGTGTACTCACCGATGACTATGAGAAACTTCTCCATGCATTGAAACATGGCCTCTTGTCCTCCAATGGCAAGCACTACTCCATGGCAGAGATCTCCGATATGCAAGCCTCCAAGGTCTTCAGAGCCAGGTACTCCAAGTATCTAAGGAAGAAGATGAGAGAACCTGAGACAATGAGGCAGGTTGCAGCAGTGGTTCTGCAGGTACAAGTCACTGCAGTGATGGTAGCCACCAGGCAGGGACTGATCCAGTCAAGAATATACCTTGTTACTCAACCAAGCCAGCAGTAGAGAACTGTGTTGACAAAGCCAGTCACTTGGCTGATCCCCTGGCACTGGAAGAATGTATGACACAATCCACCATCACCAATTCCAAGCACAAGCCTCCCAGAGTACTGTCAAAGAGAGGAGAACCAAACTGAAGCATTCCATGACAAGTTTGCCCATTTTGCAAGTGGTATGAGGAGTCTCTTGCTGATGCACTCAACCTGGCTGGAACAGCAAGATACAACCTCAACATTCGACACAAGAGAGCCTTCCTGTCAAATCAGTCTGGAAGAAAGAGGTCAATTCCAGCTGGATGGGAAAAGGTTGTTCCATACTGGAACCATTCAGAGTTGGCTTACCTGAATTTGCTAGCAGAGGCTGCTGGTGTGGATGCACCATTTCCTAATGCAGAGCCTTTGCCACAGGATAATGGAGAGAGGTCTTTTCAGAGTTCATTGTTGCATTCAAACCACAGCGCAGAAGTATGCACCAAATGATTGTTGTTTGTGTGTGGCTTGTACAGAACCACAACCACCAGTAGAAGCACCAACAGTCCAGCATCGTGGACCACCAACAGTACAAACACCGATGGAAACAGAGGCCATTGCACCACCACCACCACCACCACCACCACCCCCACCAGCAGCAGCAGCACCAAGCAGCTGTGGCACAAACAACAAAACAATTACATGAGTAACATGCTTCAATTTCAACAACAACAGATTCAAATGATGCAACTCGCCATGCAAATGAGGCAATTCCAACAAATACTGCCATCTCCTTTCCAGCAACTCCTCCACCGAATGGCTGCTGTCACAGATACTGCCAGTGGTTGACTAACAGAGAGGAAGACCACCCATGATGCCACTGTCAAACTCGATTGAATGGATACCTGACATAAGAACAGCAATAAATATTAAGGTACATCAAATTCATTTCTTATGTAGCTATTAGCTAACTTACATTTCAGTTCCACAATGTACAGCAAATTGTGGTTGCAAGAATCCGTGGTGGTCAAGGCTTTCAATGCATTCATCAACAAAAGTCTCGCACATCAAAGTCAAAATCTTGAAGGAAATGTTGCTGTTGTAGTCATACCAGTGGCAACAATACCCATGCCAAGCATCCATAACAATCTGTCCTTGCTTGGAGTAGAAGTCATAGCTCTTGGCAATCGTTTTCCCTCACTAACCAATAGATGCACTCAATGAAGATGTCCTTCCTTTGACATGCTTCTGGCCCGTCCAGCATTCCAGAAAGGGTGGAGAGAACATGGTGTACCATTTGGACTCTCTGAAGACCCCACTCAAACATGTAATCCATGATGCTTGTCATGTCGGAGGAAGAGGCTTGCATCCTCCTTGGTATATCAACTCCTCAAGATCCGCACTTCATTTGTGGGCCAAAATGAAACTTCTGATAGTTGGTGAGGTGGGGCTCTTGTTCTTCCACAATGATGTACTTGCAAGTGAATCCATTCCTTGTGGCCTCAGCTCATTGAATGGGTATGCATATTACACAGTAGCGCCACTTGGAGAACAAAGGAGTAGTTGCGATCCTCATTGTCGAGATCTCCAGTTCTTGCAGCCGGTTGTTGTTGTACGTTCGTTCAGCGAGTGTTGCTGCAGCGAGAGTTTCGGTCGATTTTCGTGCGATGTTCAAAAATAATGGGAAGGTATGGTATCAGCGAAGGATTGGGAACAGAAAAAAGCCAGTCAGATGGCCGGCTTCCGTTGGGTCAATTTGAATTTGACATCAAGACATCAACGTACCTCTCTGGTGACGTATTTGCTGACATATTCTTGTTCTTCGGACGTCTTACCTATGGGGAAACGATCGGTCATTGCCTTCTCCCCTCATTTCTATAAGTATTTTCTTCCCTGGATCGTGTGTGCGGTGTCCGTTATGACTTCTTTTGGTCAACGTCAGGCCCTGCAGGCTCACTGGTTGGGAATTCGGAATCCCAACCGTTAACCCTCTCCCTTTCTTTTTTCTTTTCCCTCCCCCGCGCTGGTGCCTAACCCCCCCTAAAACTCCAAACCGGTGGGACCAGCCAAAGATTACTCTAGACCAGCAGTAAAGATACTTTGCCGCTATTAGACTACCTTGTGCGCATGGATTCGTTCTTGCATGCAGCATTGCTGCAGCGATGAAATTTAAATCCTGGGTGAGCTGCTGCTTGATTTCCCGAGCATCTTACTAGAGCGGTAGACTACCAGGTACCAGTAGTGGAAGCTTCGCCCCAAAGTCCTCATAAATCTGTGAAACCACGAAACATAAACCCCTCTAGACTACCGGTAGAATAAAAATCTTTTAAGACGACCATGTCCTCTCACCTTGACATTGCTAGTAGCGATACTGGTAAAGAAGAAGATACCTCTGTCCAAGTGGCGGTGGATCCTAACAGCGACCCTTTTGCATTCCGCCCCGGTAGGACTCTAGAATGGACCAACGTATCTTTGAGCGTGAAGGATACCAGTACTACCGCTACAGCTACCGTGGGTTTGAAGAAGAAGAAGAAGCAAGATGGCGAAGAAAAGGTAATTTTGGATTCTTTGTCTGGACGGATTGCTCCTCAGCAGCTGACCGCCGTGATGGGCCACAGTGGGGCTGGGAAGACTTCGCTCCTGCACGTTCTCGCTGGCAAGGTCAGTGCAAGCGGCAGCAGTACTATTAATAGTAGCATCACGCTGGATGGAGTCCCCATTGACCCCACATCGATTCAAGTCAAGCGCAAGATTGCCTTTGTGGCCCAACGAGACACATTGCTCAGTACAGCCACGCCACGCGAAGCCATTCGCTTCAGTGCCAAGTTGCGTCTAGATTCCACCTTGACCAATGACGAACTGGATGCCCTCGTGGACCGCATTCTCAAGGAACTACGGCTTCAACATGTCGCTGACAGTCAGACGGGCGGAGCACGACACCGCGGCTTGTCCGGGGGAGAAATGAGACGTCTTAGTTTGGGCATTGAGCTCGTCGTAAGACCCAGTCTGCTCTTTTGCGATGAAGTCACTTCCGGGCTGGACAGTCACAATGCCACGGCTGTCATGGAGGTGCTCAAGCAGGTTGCCGATTGCGGGGCCACGGTGCTGCTCACCATTCACCAGCCCAACAGTCGCGTCTTTGGGCTCCTTGATCATCTCATTCTTATCAATCAGGGACGCTGCATGTATGAGGGTCCTGTGGACAAGGTTCCCCAGCATTTTGCTCTACGAGGATACGAAGTTCCCCTCAATTACAATCCGGCCGACTATATCCTCGAGGTTTCGCAGACGGAATCCATGCAAAAGTTGACCGAGGCCGGCTTCTTTCAGATGACTCAGCAGCAGCAAGACGACATGGATCTAGCTGCTGACGAGGAGGATGCCAGGGCGAGTAGCAGGTCACTGGTCAGACGAGTCTCCCGTTCTCTATCCAGCACACTGTCTCGCGCCACTTCCTCTCGATCCATCATGAGTGGTAGTTCCTCATTCAGACGACGACCACGACGACGACTATCTACCCCAAAACCAAGGCTTTCCATTTTTGACAAGCTCGATTCCAAAGCACGGGTCAGCCTTTGGACTGAGCTATGTCAGCAGCTGAAAAGAGATATTCAGAGGCTTATGCGCGACGGACATGCGATGCGCATGCGATTCATGATCGTCGTGATAGGTTCTGTCGTTACCGCATTTGCCTTTCAAGGAGCCGCAAGCACCGATTCCATTCAGGATGTCTCCTCCTTTTCCTCCCATGTCGGAGCCATCTTCTTCATGCTTGTGGCTTGCATGGTGTCGGTACAGGTCATCATGATGGATCAGATCGAAACTCGCCCCATCTTCATTAGGGAGTTTGAACGGGATCATTACAGGATTCTCTCGTATGGACTGTCCAAGTTTGCCATTGAAGCCTTGATTTCTTTCACGCAGGTACTCATTCTAGTACTCACGGTCTATTGGGCTATTGGATTGCAAGGGCGCTTCTGGATTTGGCTTTGTGTTTTCTACACCTTTGTCATGATCATGAATGCAGTGGGCATTATGCTCGCCGCTGTCACACGAGATGTCCGTGATGCCAAGGAATTGATACCCATGACCATGCTCCCGCAAATCCTCTTTTGTGGATACTTTGTCAGCACGTTGCCCGATTACATGACATGGTTGCAGTGGTTGTGGCCCTTGACGTACATATTTCGACTGTCTCTGAATGAAGAATTCTCCTTCTGTCTCGAGAAGGAGCAAGTATACGACCAGGGAGATCATTGTGCGCAAATGTTGCTTCAAACGTATGCTGACGGTTCCGCGGAATCCATTTACAACAATGACTCGCTTGTTGACCTTCCACAGACGGGGACATACAAAGGTACGCGGGGAATCCTAGAATACTTTGGCTTCTTTTCCGAAGAAGAAACAAGCGACTCTTCTTTCCTCGTCAATGGATGCATCCTCGATGGATCCTTGAAAGTCAAATTCAATGGATACGAGGATGGTATCTGTGATGTCTCGCTGGTGGAGGTGCAACGCGCACAAGTGAATCCAATCCTGGTCCGGGATGATTTCCGTCAGATCCCGTATGCGGAGTATCCCATCGGTCACCGATTCCAGTTCAGAACCACAGACAGCAACATTGAAGGTCAGCCTACGGCAGACGTCATTTCTGATGCAGTCTACTTGCCCCCGGGACTGACGAGTGTGGTTGTCAATGCCGTCAACCACACGCGTGGCAATAGAATTGTCTGCACTACCCTTCGAGATCGTTGTCCGGCATCCTTTGAACGGGACGGTTTTGAGACCCTGGACGACTGCACAGATAAGATGGGAAGCCTCCCCGTGGCATCCGCCAACAGTCATGGACTGGTTGTGTCGGATAACAATTCCACGACGTGCCGATTCGTCCACGCGAGCTTGGCTAAATCCAACACGGACCATTGCCCGCACGTTTCCTACTATCCCGAGCCCGACAAGGACGGGATTATCAAGTGCAGCCAATCCTACAATCGGAGCTACGCCGACTTTTTCACTCCCGAGGACTTGGAACTCTTTGCTGAATTGGCGGTCGAGTATGATTTGGACAAGGAAGCGCAGATTGTCTATGAGTTGAGCGCCAACGAAACCAGACCTTGCCGGGTCAGCTTTGCGGATCGTGAGAACGAATTGGCCGCCTCCATCCCACAGGATTACGTTGCGACAAAGACTTGTGTGGAATACCTAACGCAACAGAATGCCACTGGAGAAAACAACGTCCAGTACTGGTTGACTCTGGCTGCAATGTACGTGGCAATTCGCTGTTTGGGGTTGGCCCTTTTACGGAATCTAGTCACAAAAAAGAGCAAGGTTGCTTAGGATGCGTTGGTATTCCAAGCGAACCACAACATCGCTGGTCTCGAACGAACAGGCAGGCCAGAATGGCTATAACTGCCTTCCAATGACGATCTACCCCCAGTATAGTTTAGATGGGCTAGTGAGTGCATGGTTTGAGTCGAGTCCATCCGAGTCCATCCATACCGATGATAGTGAAAAATAAATGTTCTGTAACCTTTAGAAAACATAATTTCACCGAATTTGTGAGCACATCACGTGGACTGTTTCTTTCGGTCTGGAAAGCTTTGCTCACTGCACTGCAAAGTGGGAAGGCCCTTACTCAGTGGTGCGTGGCTACGTTAATGCTCGGCTCAGCCTAGCTATTCTTCGGGCCCGCCACCTCTGCATGCGTGGCTCTCGTGTCCCTGCTCTGAGAGCGAAGGTCTCTTGTTTCCCACCAAGCAAGATGTAGGATCTGATGAGTTCATGGCTACGGCGACCGCTGCTGATGAAGAGTTCTCTAAGATAAAGAAATCACCTAACAAAGTGCCTCTTTCACACAAAACTCAGATCCATGCACTTTTAAGTTCCCCGTCAGGAACGGTTTTGATTTGATGGGGAATCGAATCGAACCGAACCGCTCGACCCAAACCTGCATTGTACCAACAGTCCCAGATCGAGAAGCCACAATGGCGTCAATCGACTTGCAGATACAAAAAGAAAAGAATGGAAGGACATGCGTTTTGGGTTCTGGTTACGTCGTGTTTTGAATCAAGCCTCTTTTCGACCGCAAATGCGATTCATCATTCTGCTCGACAGGGAAACGGCGTTCTCCGCCGTCATTGAACTCCTGCGTTGCCCGCTACGTCCACCGTTCTTGGCTAACAATGCTTCGTGCCCCATCGACTGTTTGGTCAGCTTCACGTGTACGACCTACTTCTTTGCCAGCTGTAGATCTCTATATTGTTGCCGCCCGCAAACAAGAAAAGAACGGTCGAGTACGGTAATCAAATAAAATATAGAGATGCTACTAGTATGCTATATAGTTACTCGAACTACTACCGTACTGTCGTCTGCAACTGAAAACCGATGCTTCTGTAGACCGGTGCGGGACCTTCAACCATATTTTCCCTCGGCATTCTTGGCTGCTTCCTCTTTGTGCTGCTTGAGAGGTATTCGGTCCTTGGCTGTCCTTTTCCAACAGCACTGAATTGATCTTTGGCTCGAGCCAATTCCGCACTGTTTCCAGAGGAAACACAACGAGCGGTATGGTAGACACCATGGACAATGGGACGCGTGACCTTTTCGTAGATGGAGCCCCCACCATACTTGCCATCCAGTTTGTCGGAGAGGTTGCGGTGACTGGGGTTGTCTTTCTCGAGAGGCATAGTTATGGAAACGATGACGCTGAGCACTCTAAATCGATCATTCAGGACAAAGCTGCGGAATAATGAGATCGATCGAATGATTCAATTGATCCATCTTCCTAGAACTCGTATTGGAAGCTTGGAAGCTCCGCGTCAAAACTTGTGGAGGCTCCCCGTCAAAACCTCTCGTTCCCCGCCGCGTTCAATTCCCGCACGCGGAAGCAACCAGGACTGAATGCTCGCGTGTCAAAGCATCCCCACAAGACATCACCGAAAGAGCAATTTGTTTGTTTAACACCTCTCAAATTGAGTCTTTGAAGTGTCTTGAGCTTAAATCTCACTCTCAAGCTGAAATGTCACTTAGAGGGTGCAATTTCAGTCACCCTATGTAATTTCAGCACGTATCACGCTTATTAACACGGGGCTTAGTGCAATTTCAGTGTCACTATGTAATTTCAGCACGTCGACTTAAATTGTACACTCCGCTTTAAATCACACTGCTTTAAAAGCAGAGTTTTGGATTTAACAGGCGATTCCCTGCAATTTGTTGTTTCGGTAGGCGCCATTGTAACCCTAGCATCAAGAGCCAAGCGTCGCTGCAACTCCTTGAAAGGATCCACACCGAGCGCAAATGGTGTGCATGGACAGCAGTCGATTTTCGCAACAACTCTCTACTAGCTACGGTAGGGCTCCCGCAACTCAATGAGACAGCGGAATCATCATGATTCAGCGATATGGTATGCCCACTAGCTAGCGTAGATACCGGTATAGCTAACCATCTATACCGGTGTGTGCCTGCATGGGAAGCCAGATTGCTACAATCGAGATCCTGACTGGAACTTTTGGACCAAAGATGTGGGAGCTGTTCCTGCAATTACTCCACGGCAGCCACACAGCCAGCTATCCACAGCAAAGATTGGATCATCTAATTATATATTCTTTGTTTTCTAAATGCTAGCTCGCACACTCTTCTCTATTTCTTTAACACATCTATTTGCTTCGTCCATGAATGTTCTTAAATTGCCCCTGATAGGAAAGACAGGTCAAGCCGCAGTCCCAACCAAGCCAACAGTTCTGTAATTGCTTCCACTTCAACTTCAGTTGAACTACTGCTGTAGACCTCTGCTGCTGTGTAGTTGGTGGAATTACTCACAATGCCCACCACAGATTCAGCCAGTATGCTTGGACTGCAGGTTTCACTTGTGTAGGAACTCAAGGCAAAAACCGCTCGAGCACTGATGACGAGGCCAATGGTGGCCAGCAAATGGAACCATTCATGGTAGCCCCAAACAGGATGATGACCACCTGCTTGGCTGCCATACAGGTAAAACCCAATGGCATAAAGAACAGTGCTTCCTAGAATGCAGTAGAAAACCTCTGAGTCCTCTACATGCATTCCATAAAACCACATGTTGGGTGCAATGGCACAGAAAAAGCTGGCAAATGCAATGGGGCCAGCACCACAAAGGACCGCAATAATTCCCAATCCAAGGGGAACTGCCACTGTTACCAAAGAGTAAACAAAGTCAGGTTTGCAGGCCTCGCTCTCATGTACCTGTGGCGTCATGTAGGAAGTCCAGCAGAGAACCAAGATACAAGCCTTGTCTATTCTGGTGATTGCTTCTTCCAGTGACTTGGATTGCCAAGGAACCAAGTGCACCAAGCTCGAAATAACCAAAAAGAAGCAGATATTCATCACCACTGGGGCAGCCACTGAGGGGATATCATTCCAGCATCCATAGGTTAGTGAAAGAGAGGTCAGGGCACTCATTCCATGCAACCAACCCCGGCAGAGAGGTCTGGGAGATCCATCAGCATACTGTTTGTGGAATGGCATGTTGTTTGTTGGTTTCTTGTGGGTGTTGTTGCAGATTGGCTTTTGTTCCTTTTTATGATACCGAGCAGTGGTAACTGGCTGGTATGGGATTGCAGCGGCAGCATTGGCCATGCTGGCATACGGTGCTATACGGGTGCGAAAAATAGCCTGCGTACAACCAAGTAAGTGAACTAACGGTGGGTGGTACATGTATTAAATTTCAAGGTACCGGGATCGGATAAACTCGAGTCAAGGATTCAGCGTCACGAAAGATTGTTGCCCACCCACATTTTGGGAGACCCTTCAACGAATCGAATTCTTCGTCACCCAACCATAGTTCCAAACCAAACTCAATCTTTAGCTGACATTCACAGCTCCATTAGCTTAACACTTAGGATCTTTGGATCTTTGCACCTCCCCACGGCAAAGCCACAACAACCAGAACAGAACTGGAGGCTAGCTAGGAGGTTTCTATGGTGATCCATAATAAGGTCCTTCTGCGTGTTCAGACTCCATCCTTAGGCTACTGGCTGCTTTTTCTCAGATGGTTGAACTTGTCTGCTCTCAGCTATTTACCCATCTCGAGGACTTGGACGACTTGTTCGAATGGAACAAATGCATGGTCGTTTGCCAAGCGGAGTCTGCGGCCTCAATTGGGACTGATTGCCATTCGGTAGTCATGAGGAATTATTTCAGCCAACAGTTCACAATCACGGTCAATCCGCAGTGAGTACTAGCCAGCGTCAACTTGGGACCTTATTAAACTCGGACAATACTCATGCGAAACAAAATGGCGAAAAGACGAAAAGACGACTTTGAGGGATGACAGTATGGGCAATGGAAGAATCTGGAATGGGTACGGCGTTGCAAATGCACGAACCAATGTACGACACTCTACATGTCATGAATCTCTATGATTTGTGAGAGCTTTCTCCCATCACTAGAGGGTGTTGGTACATTAAGACTGTACTGGGACCAAGTTCTATCACTGGGGAGCTTTGGGCGGATTGGTTGGTCTGGTGGACGATGACTATTGGTAGTAAATAGGAGATGGAGCAATCTAGCTAGCTATAGAGAACTTTCAGAGGTCCACCAGTAGCGTTCCGCGATCGGCTTATTGCTGAGCACCTGCCAGCTCGAGGCGTAAGATTTTCGTGCCTAAGATAAGCCACCATGCTCTGCCCCCCCCCTACCTACCGGTACAACCAAGAACCCACAATCGACAACGCGGGAACCAAACAGCATCCAGCTTTCAACCATTCGATTGATTCGATTCGATTCGATTCGACTCGATTCCATTCCATTCCATTCCATTCCATTCCATTCCATTCCATTCCATTCCATTCCATTCCGGTAAAGAGACAATGTAGTTGCGGTAAATATTGGTCTTCAAGCAATTATTAAATGTATGATATTGCCTAAACTCCCCACCGCAAGCTTTGCAGCCAATGTTCAAAAATGTATGGCTGCCGACTGCATGCCGACCATACGGTAGCATTCGCCGAGTGAGATGAACGGGACGGTCCACGAGCCATGCATTGGCAAAAGAAAGAAGTTGCGGGAATACCTGTTTTCGCGTGTTTGACAATGTTCAATTTCTTGCTTTTGGAAGAATGATGCAATCCGGAAGAATGAATCAAAATGGAAGAATGACTCAATGTGGAAGAATGACGCAATCTGGAAGGCGCTACGTAAAATCGCGTAGAAATTAGTACTGGGTGACGTAATCTGGAAGAAAGATGGAATCTGGAAGATTGCTGCAATTTGGTAGCATGACTCAAAGTGGAAGATTGACATAAACCAGCAGTTGCCCCCAAAAGGAAGTACTCCAAAAGTCCATTCCCCGCAACTCCAGTAAAAGGGCAAGCTCATGTCAAGCCCACAAAATTGAAAAAGAAGAAAATGCCATTCCACAAACAATATGCTGATGGATCTCCCAGACCTCTCTTCCGAGGTTGGTTGCATGGAACAAGTGCCCTGACATCTATTTCACTAACCTACGCCTATTGGAATATAATCCCAACTCTTGCTGCCCCTACCATGATAACAATCTGCTGCTTGTTTGCAGTTTCAAGTCTGGTCCACTTGGTATCTTGGCCATCCAAGGCCTTGGAGGAAGCAATTACCCGAGTCGACAAATCCTGTATCTTGGCTCTTTGCATGACATCCTTCATGGCCCCTCAATGGATTGAGAGTGACACCTGCAGACCTGACTTTGTTTTCTCCTTGGTAACAGTGGCAATCCCCATTGGGCTGGGAGTGGTTGGGGTTCTTTGTGGTGCCGGGCCAATTGCATTTGCCAGCTTTTTCTGTCCGGTTGTCTCCAACATGTGGTTTTATGGAATGCATGTTGAAGACTCCGAGGTCTTTTACTGCATTGTGGGAAGCACTGCTCTGTATGTCCTTGGGTTTTACCTGTATGCCAGCCAGGCAGGAGGGCACCATCCCTATTGGGGTTACCATGAATGGTTCCATTTGCTGGTAACGATTGGCATTGCCATCAATGCCCGTGGGGTCCTTGCCATGACTTGGTACACGGACGAAGTCTGTAGTGCCGGTGTGTCAGTTGTGGAATCTGTTGTGAGCAGCAACTATACATATGCAGATGAGATCTGTGGCACTGGTTGTACTGGAATGGGCGAAGTCAGCCAATTCAGTGAATCTTTGGTATGGTCAGGTCTGTTGCATGACCTGTCTTGGTTGCCAGTGGGGATTTAACAACATTCACAAATAGATGCATTATAGAAATGAACAAATAAAGAGAAAGGAAACTTCCTATCTAGCAAAAACATGGTGGGAGGAGAGGCTTTAGCTATAGCGGGCACCGCAGGGCCCATCGTAGTTTTGTTTGGCTACATGTACCAACTCGCGGTACGGTAGGTCCCTGGTCCCTGGTACCGATAGCTGCTCCCACGACTCCCACCACAACACGAGGGTGGCGTGGTATGACGACTGACGATCGACTCGACTGAGTCGAGTCGAGTCAAATTTCTTTGGGGGGGGGGGGTGGAGAACAGGGTTCGCTAACCAGTAATTTTGGTTATTGGTTTTGGTTACTGGTTGACTGGTTAATAACCAGTCGAATCAACCAAAACCACTAACCAGTCAATACCACTGGTTATTGGTTGATCAACCAATAACCAGTAACCAGTACGTTTTTGACTGGTTGATTTGACTGGTTACTGGTTGATTTTACTGGTTGATTTTACTGGTTATTGGTTGATTCGAGTGGTTGATTCTACCGGTCATTGGTTGATTCGACTGGTTGATTCGACTGGTTGATTCGACTGGTTGTCTAGGTATTTGCCTTCAAGATAGCTACCGTCCAGACTGTGTTTTGTCCTTCGAGCAAGGTAGTTACTGTCCAAGCAAGGTAGCTACTGTCCAGGCTGTTTGTCTTTAATGAGGAGCTTGTGGAGGACATCACTACTGAAATGATGGAAGAACTTGAGTTTTACTCTAAGGAAGAGGAGAAGGCTGAGGAAGATGAGAGAAAAGGGCTGCAGCATCCTAGGGTGTGCACAGGGAACTGCATGAGGTGGAAGCAAACTACAAACAAGTCTTGCACTGCATGTTGGGACGTACATGAACTTGATTGGGGCTATGGCAACCTGGGCAACTGTATGGGGTGGAAGCAAACTACACACAAGTCTTGCACTGCATGTTGGGGCCTAGATAATAACCACTGGTTCAACCAGTGGTTATTGGTTAATCAACCTATAAATAACCTATAACCAGTGGTTGATCAACCAATAACCATTAACCAGTACCCTAGTTTGACTGGTTGATCAACCATTAACCAATAACCAGTACCCTAGTTTGACTGGTTGATCAACCATTAACCAATAACCAGAACCCTAGTGACTGGTTAGCGAACCCTGGTGGAGAAATCCAGTGGCTGACTGCCACTCAGATTGGAAGACAGTGGTAAACAGTGGTTGACAGTTGTAGATGGTACGATAGACAGTTCGGCAGTTTGTGCTGATCAAGAGTAAAACTACTTAATAATTCAGTCACTTTTTGCTAAAATCGTATGGTAGACAGTGGTACAGTGTAAACAGGCAATGATGAGCAATGAATTTCTCCATCCCCCGATCTCCAGGCTCCAAGAGTGACGTATCCTTCTTGACTCAAATAAAACCGATCCCGGCAACTGTGAGTTCCAAGGGGTCGGTACAGTACTAGTAGACTGCATGCAGGATGAATGATGGACAAGAGCCAGGTAGATGCGGAAAACATTCTATATCAATAGTAAAATAGTTAGCATACCTGGTATCCGTTTCCTCAGACTACCTGAAGCAATGCAATAACCGCATGCCGCTTCCCAAGATAATCCGCCGCGACACCTTCAATTTCATGTACCTCTACTTGGTTCTAGCTAGCTAAAGCTGGAATCGAAGTGAAGCACAAAAACAAGAAAACACAATCACAACAACACCCGCAAAGGAAATCAACGCAACAAAGAAAATGCCATTCCACACACAGTATGCTGATGGATCTCCCAGACCTCTCTGTCGAGGTTGGTTGCATGGAATGAGTGCCCTGGCCTCTCTTTCACTGACCTACGAATACTGGAATGACATTCCCTCAGTGGCTACCCCTGTGGTGATCAATATCTGCTCCTTGTTTCTCATTTCGAGCTTGGTCCACTTGGTTCCTTGGCAATCCAAGACATTGGAAGAAGCAATCACCAGACTAGACAAGGCTTGTATCTTGGCTCTTTGTTTGGCATCCTTTATGACTCCACAACTACACGAAAGTGATGCCTGCAAACCCGAGTTTGTGTACTCCTTGGTAACAGCGGCCATCCCCGTTGGTTTGGGAGTGATCGGGGTCCTTTGTGGTGCTGGTCCCATTGCCTTTGCCAGCTTTGTCTGTCCAGTAGTCTCCAGCATGTGGTTTTATGGAATGCATGTAGAGGACTCCAAGGTCTTTTACTGCATTCTAGGCAGCACTGTTCTGTATGCCATTGGGTTCTACCTGTATGGGACCCAGGCAGGTGGTCATCATCCTGTTTGGGGCTACCATGAATGGTTCCATTTGCTGGCCACCATTGGCCTTGTCATCAGTGCTCGAGCAGTCTTTGCCTTTAGTGCCTACACAAATGAAACCTGCAGTCCAAGCACAGTTTTGGAATCTGTGGTGGGCATTGTGAGTAATTCCAGCAACTTCACAGAAGAGCTCTACAGCAGTACAACCACAATTGAAATGGAAGCAGTTACAGAAGTGTTGGTGTGGTCAGGACTGCGGCTTGACCTGTCTTTCCTACCAGCGGGAATTTAATAAGGAAGATTCCGGACGAAGCAAATACATGTGTTATAGAAATAGATAAAAGTAAACTGAGATATCAAGCAAAAACATTGTACAGTTGCATGATTCCTTCAATCTGACCTAGCTAATACCCCCTCCAACCTCCTTTACTGCTTCTACTCGAGATCTCTTCACACCAGCAGCAGAAAACAGGTCCGTGGAATGGCAACCATAGCTCAGACATCAGTGTACGGTACCGGTATACCAACCCATTGTAGATGACATCCTTTGCCGAGCTGCTTGGAGACTGCCACGCCCAACGTCCGGAACCGACCGCCTTGATACACCCTTTTAACTTGAACGATCCATCGAGGATGCATCCAGAAATTAAGCAGGGCTAGATCCATGTCGTCTTTGTCTTGCTGACTGTTTCGCCTGAAAGAAGCCCGCCTCCGTCAACTTTTGCATGGATTGAATCCGTCTGTGAGAACCTCCAGTCGCTCAGTACCGTACATACCCTTTTAGAATAAATATATACTAAAGAGATACGTTAAGGAGCGAGGGGGGCGAGGCTAGGCAAAGCAGGGGCTGCGGTGGTGGGTGGCTGGTGTGGTGGGCATACGGGGAGAGCAATGAGGACGCGAGCAGGGCAAAACGAGGGGGGCAGGGAAGGGGGTGCATGGAGGAATAGATGACCTCTCCTGATGCCCAGCTGGTTGGAGACAGTCGAGCGTGAGTCGACGAGACAAGACGAACGTCCGGAACCGACACGTTTCGGTAGTGTTAGTGCTAACTTTGTAAAAGATGCCGTCATACCCATGACTTAAAATAGCAGTATTGTCAAGGCTTACGTACATGCTGTACGTCAGAGACATGAAGATGACATCAGTCGTCTGCTTTTTGAGTTCTGTATTGCCCCTCCCCAATAAAATGGATTCTGGCACGATGTAAGTGCGTATGTGTGCCAATCGAGGCATGAAGACATGAAGACACAAGCCAAAGCTGGAGCGCATCAAGCAGACAACCAACAGCAAGCAGCAGCAAGCAACACTTTTATTGCATTGCATTCTTCTGCTTTCCAATAAAACAACAGGAAGCGAGTTCAGGTAAGCAAATAAGATACCTACTAGCTACTACTCGAGTAGCTATCTAGCTAAGGAAGGAAGGCCTTCATAATTTCAGAAGAAGGATTTTCATTTTCCCTTCCCTTATCTGATCTTTTTTACCTTACCTTATCTTATCTGATACCTTATTTTCTCTTAAGTCAACTTATCTGATACCTTATTTTCTCTTAGGTCAATATTTCTATTAAGTGAAGCAAGATGATGTTTTTGAAGAGTTCCGTGGCGGCCTTACTATGGGTATCCGCCAGTGCCTTTACTACCACCACCACTACGCATACTTCACGTACCACTCCGTTGAACATGGTAGCATCTCCGTACCAAGCGTCGTTTCAGTGGGACGGTCTGGCCGAAGGTCACTCGGTGCGTGTGGAAGGCAACACGTTGAGGACGTGCAGTTTCCCCGCGGCGGTCCAAGACGTTCGGATCAATATCAACAGCAACGGTCGTCCCGTCTTTTGCGATGTCGAATTGTGGCAATCGCCCACATATGTGCCCTGGAAGACCAAAGTCTGGTTGGAAGATGGACGCATTTTCCCCTTTAATGCCATTATTCACACACCATTGGCAGAAAATGCCATTCAAGTCAAGAATACCGCCAATGTCGCCATGCCACTCGATGCCAGTGTCAGCATCGGACCAGAAGTCACGCCCATGGAAGAAATCCTAGACGAGTACATTGCTACTACTCCTGCTAAAGTCTGTCAGGGTGCGGGGTCGGTTACCTGCTGGAATTTGGAACCTTCTTCCGAACAAGTCTCCATTCTCTTGACCACCGAAGAAGGACGTCATTTGACCGCCATGGTGGAGTTGGTACAAGGACCCAACAACAAAAAGGTCAGTTTGGATGTCTATTCCAGCAATGGAAAAAAACGACCCTTTTTTGCTACCATTGATACACCCTTTGATGGATCCACACGAATGCTCCGCGTTGTCAATACGGGACCACTCGAATATCCCATTGTGGCCCACATTAATCCTCCCACCAAGAGTATGAACCCGAGTTTGTTTTAATTTATTATTAAAAGAAAACAAGACACAAGTCAAGAAGAAGAAGAAGAGTGAAGAAGAGAAGTGTTGCTGGAAGAAGAAGACAAACGGGACGAATGGATGGATGGATGGATAGAGAAAGAAGAGGAAGATTTTAATTGTGGCATCAAGCTGGAAATAAATATTGTTGGATGGAAAATTGGATGATTGACTGATTCGATTCAAGATTGTATTTGTTGGTGTTGGTTGTACCGTGTCGTTGCTTGCTGCAAGTGTCATTGGGTTGCTGCCATGGATGGATCAGGTGGGCATTGGTGGTCGTTTTGCTCGGTTCATTTTTTAGGATCGGGTCAGCTCAGCTCAAAAACGAGGCAAAAACCGACGGCCAGCCAACGGCACGCTTGGTCCGTGGCTGTGGTCGCCTCCACCAGAGAAAATTAAAAACGTGGCGACGTGGGCATGCATGCAGTGCAGGGGCGGTTTGGTGCAACAACTATAACTGTAGTAAAATGAATGAATGAATAAAGACAAACCAAAAGCGATCGATTATGCAATCGAGAGTGGGGTCGTTCGTCCATCGTCGTTCGTTTTCGTTCGTACGTTCGTTCTCACAGTTTGCATTCCACGATTTTTTTTAAAGGAAGGAATTTTTTTATGCCGTTAGAGGTGTCCATCTGGGGGGATGGACTCAAGGATGGGGCCTGGAGCTGGACAGCCAAGTTCGAGCAGACCAACCAAACAGAAAGGATCTCAAGGGAGCGAGGAGTCCAGGGTTCAGAGAATCGGCCAGAGGATAGAGATTTGCAATAAAGATCTAGAGACGTTCCGTTTTTTGTTGTTGTAAAGAGTGCCTCGACCATCCCAAGGCCCAGAGCTAATCATAGAGACAGGAACACGAGGCACATCGTATAGAGGCACATCGTAGCTATTTGAGCAAGGGCAGCAATGCTCAGCCAGTTGGGCAGAAACGTCGGAACCCACCACAGACAACTTCTTATAAGCCAAAAGCTGGGAGAGCCATTGGAGAACAGTCAGCTGCAAAGATGCCACCAGCAGAAGCAACAAAGGGGGTGAATTCAGTTCGCCTTGATCCATCCATCCTGGCAAGGGATGGGAGTCGAGTCGAGAGAGAAAGGTCGAAGTGCACGAAGACAGCGGATATGGAAACGTTAGCGCTAACACTACCGTAGATACTTCCGTAAATGGCGAGGCCACAATAGCTGTCCTTGTCCCAGGCCACGGACGATCTTTCCGGACGTTGCAGATAGCTTGGCAGAAGATGGAATCTATAGTGTGCGACTAATCAGTATGCATAAGACAGCCAAATGGAAATAGGCTGGCCAACAACAGCTAGCTAGTTCCTTCTTTTATCTTCCTTGGTCAAGACTGAATTGGTTTTTTAAAAACCAGCAAACCAAGCCACAGTCCTGACCACACCAACAATTCTGTCACTGCCCCCTTCCACTTGTAAAACTAGTTACTAGAACTGTAGAACGCTTCAGTGTAGTTGGTGGAACTACTCACAATGCCCCCCACAGATTCAGCCAATGTGCTGCTCCCCGAACAGCAGATTTCATTTGTGTAGGAACTAAAGGAAAACACTGCTTGAGCACTGATGACACTGCCGATGGTGACCTGCAGATGGAACCATGCAAATGGCATTGCCTTCAGCCAAGTCCGGGCGGGCAATCGAGAGGGTGCGTTCGTTCTCAGCTCAAGTAACTATATGTGCTTACCTCTATCATTGCTCTGGTGTGTTGGAAGAAGCGCGAAGACTTTTGCTCTTCTTTGCCCAAGCCTGGCCTTCGATCAATGGCTTCAAAGACGGTCCAACTCCAAAACCGCGTTCCCCGTTGGCAACCCAAGATGCGCCCCATGCAGACGTGATGGAAGGTAGCTGCCTATAGACGCACACTAGGCATGATCTCATTCCGGCCGTGACTTGACTGTCACTCGACTCTCGAGTCGGATGCAACCCGAGCTGTCCACAGCAATGGAATGTTTTTCCGGACGTTGGAGTCTCAAAGAGCTTGCCAGCACAGCAACCGCGCAGATAGCTATAGCTAGACATTGTATCTTCCAGATCAAACAACCAGCTCATTTATTCCTTAGTTTCTAAATACCAGCTGGTAAGAAAGACAGGTCAAGCCGCAGTCCCGACCAAACTAACAATTCTGTCACTGCTTCCACTTCAATTGTGGTTGTACTGCTGTAGAGCTCTTCTGTGTAGTTGTTGGAACTCACAATGCCCACCACAGACTCAGCCAATGTGCTGCTTCCCAGACTGCATATTTCATTTGTGTAGGCACTAAAGGCAAAGACTGCTCGAGCACTCACAACAAGGCCAATGGTGGCCAGCAAATGGAACCATTCATGGTAGCCCCAAACAGGATGATGACCACCTGTTTGGCTGCCATACAGGTAAAACCCAATGGCATACAGAACAGTGCTTCCTAGAATGCAGTAAAAGACCTCCGAGTCCTCTACATGCATTCCATAAAACCACATGTTGGGTAAAATGGCACAGAAAAAGGTGCAAAAGGCAATGGGACCAGCACCACAAAGGACTGCGATAATTCCCAAACCAACTGGTATTGCCACTGTAACCAAGGAGAAAACAAAGTCGGGTTTGCAAGCCTCACTCTCGTGTAGTTGTGCAGTCATGTAGGAAGTCCAGCAGAGAACCAAGATACAAGCCTTGTCTATTCTGGTGATTGCTTCTTCTAGTGTCTTGGATTGCCAAGGAACCAAGTGCACCAAGCTCGAAACAACCAGAAAGAAGCAGATATTGATCACTACAGGGGTTGCCACTGAGGGGATGTCATTCCAGAATGTATAGGTTAGTGAAAGAGAGGTCAGGGCACTCATTCCATGCAACCAACCCCGGCAGAGAGGTCTGGGAGATCCATCAGCATAATGTTTGTGGAATGGCATGTTGTTTGTTGGTTTCTTGTGGGTGTTGTTCTTTTTTTATGATGCAGAGCGGCAATGCTCGATGCTCGATGCTCGGCCATGGTACTGGTAGCTAGTACATCGCAGCGGTAGCATTGCATTGGCGATGGTGATGGCGGGACTTCGCCTCGTTCTATCCTGCAGTGCTACCGGTTACGCAGAAAGTTTAGGACTTATCGTACTTACCAGGCTCCTTGTCCCTTGACCAGTAAAACATACGCATAGGAGCTCCTACCGGTATTCATACATGTATCCCATATGTCCAAGGCACCGAACACGGAACACGGCGGAACCCAAGTCAAATCGGGGTGAATGCGTACAATGTCATAATATTGTGTACGGTAGAACTATAGCTGTTGCTTTGGCCTTTGGGCCTTGCCTTTTGCTTTTGTTAACCCTACTAGCTAGAGTACCGAGAACATTCTTGAAAGATTACACGAGTGGAAAAATAAGCCTAAAATACAAAATACTACAAGTACGGAAATGAAATTGTAGGCGGAAGCAAAACTCCAAAGTGAAAAACTGGCCGAGAGGAGGTGCTTCAGGACCACTCATCATGAGTCATGACCCATGAGCCAGGCAAAGGTCTTGCCCACGCTCAAAAAAACTGAACGTCTAATAACGGATTCAGACGAGATGTGCTTGAGGACTACCCACGAGCTAAGGCTCGGGTATTTCCCACAGTCAAGTCTGCTCACCGGCCACACTGGCCTCCTGAGAGGGTGCGACGCCTGTTAGCTATCTAAGGATTTGTACACTGAGGTCGGAGCCATGATTCACCACAAATCACGAGCTCTTTGTTGAAGAGAGTTGGGGTTGGTAAAGAAGTTTGAGGGGGTAGGAGGGGTAAGGAAAAAGGGATGGTAGGAATGTCCGACTATCCTGTTTCCAGGGCTGCGGTGTAGTGACTCTCTTGTAACACAGGTTCCCATGTGTTCAAAAATTGAATGATGACTGGTGTATTCAGTTGCATGCGCGATTCGAGTGGTATCTGGAATAGCTCTTGCCCACGCTCAAAGATGGTGAGAAGTGTATCCAACTTGAATGAGGAAAAAATTGAGTTTCAGTACATGTAATGTGACCAGAGGCATCGTCCCATTGGTCACGCGTTCGTGCTTTCTCACACTTTTTCGCATCCATGCCTCCACGGGATCGCTGCCTGTCACGCAAAGCTCGACCTCGAAACGATGACGCTGCAGACAAATTTACAACCACAGCCATGCAGTCGCCTCGAGAAAAATGCATTCATTGCTTGCTCGCCTGCTTGCTTACCGGTATACCGTACTCATGAGATGCCTCCGAAACCATTGGAGGCACTGGAAGCAATCCTCAGCAAGTACCAGGTACTACCATACCGGTATAATATAGAGAACCACGGGTTGCTGTACTAGCTAGCTAGTAGGCTGCTACCGTACCGTACTAGCCAATCGCGACGACATGAACCACTTTCGTGACCAGAGTTAGATATTGGAATGGGATCGAGCCAACACAAACATGGACACGACGATCTCAGTATCGCCGACTCGATTTTAAAAATACCACGTGCATGGTGCCATAGTATGCACTCTGTCGTTGTTGGCGTCGAGCTTTGTTTCGCATTGTGTTACCATACATAGCAGCTCTGACTCCATGGAAACCAAACCACCGCTCAAGCTTGGTGGAAGCCGCGGTTTCGCGAAACCAACACAATTCAGACCGGGTGACCGGTACCACCGCTCTTGGCTCGTTGCATACATGCTGGTCCCGGGGACGAGAAGAGTTTCCACGGTCCGTGGTGGCGATCCGTTGATGCACAACAATCAACAAATGCTCCAGCGTCTTCCGTACGGTACCATACAACCAAAACGAATCGAATCTCAAAGATGCCGTGGTGCGAGCGAGCTACAGTATAAAGTGCACCACCTCGTACTAGCTAGTAGGCGAGTACCAGAAACCAAACACAATAAGAAGAAAAGTAGCATGCATCGGCTTTTTCTCAGCTATAATTCAACTCACCAATAAGGCAAGAGCCTTGAAGGAATGAGTCTTCCCAATCGTCCCTTTTAGAATTGTGACAAGTTTCAGTCTGAAGGCCACCCTGGCTGTGATGTCATGCATCCTCAAAATCGTGCTACAACAAACTAAACGTCCAAATGACGCCATCATGGCCAGTACAAATCACCATTAAGGATGCAATCCTGGGTATACCGGTATGTCTATAGAAGAATTCAGTTAACTCTTGATGGTTACATGTTTAGGTTGCAGCAATCAAAAGAGGATGTGAACATGTATATGCTCCTCAGCAAGTTTTGTAGGTGACTTCCAATTCTTGTAGTTTGCCTGACTGCTTTGGAGTGTCCAGCAATAGGACTTTCAAAATCAGCACCAAAGAATGATTTCCATGGGCCTTTTTCTTCTTCATTCACGACGGCTCCAGCCGCAATGTAGCATCCTGGATGGACAACCCCAGAGATGTAGATATGATCTAAAAGTGAGTCCATTGGGTAACATAATAGTGGCCACGAAAGTGGCAGTTGGCAAATTCATCAATAGTACAATCAAAGAACCAGAGATCACCATTGACTTCAGGTGGGCAAATCATTGAGGCAGTGCGCAAGAAGGACACAGCATCAACATCAAGGCCATGAAACCATAGAATCATTGAATTGAGTGGGGAACCCCCAAAAAACCTGACAAGCATCCAGGATGCAATTTGATAGTGATAGTCACATACCCAGTTGGTTGCCCGTCTCCACAATGTCCCCTCATGGGCCTCTGACAGATCTCTTTTTCCAATCAAGAGCCATTTCAAGATGATGCTAGTCACCACAGCAAACAACGAAGCCAGAGGAAAGAGCAGGAACCAGTGCAGAATACTAGCATATCGCCAGACCGGTAAGATTTTGTTGAGGATTGCATGAGCAAGGAAGTATAGGGCACAGTAATGGTAGGCGTCTGAAAACATCCAAAGAACTTTGAAGGCATCGAGAAGGGACTCTTCCTGCCAAAAAGAAAATCTTTATAACGGATATGGCCCCAATGGACGGATCATCACTGTGCTGCAGGGACTCTTCCTGCCAGTTTGACTGGTGAGTTGGCCAAGACGGATGACGGACAGACGAGAGTCCCCAATCTGATTCATCCAGCCAGTGCTCTTCCACGAGGATCACCAACCTTTGTTTTGTTTGTCTTGATCCACCTCTCTTCTATCGGTGTAACAAGACTGCTCTTTGGTTGCTTCCATCAGTGTAATTGCCTTGATAGCTAATAGACACCATCATTAGTAGCTGTCTACCATCTACATCAATCCCACTGCCGTCGCTGTTTCTTCTCCTCGGCCCTTTTCTTTTTCTCTCCCATCAATCCAGCGAGCAAAGAAGTACATCCCGTCATTGGGATCAATCCAACCGAATCCAACCCTGGGAAAACCTCCAGTGTACCACTCTCCCATTAACTCCACTCAATCTATTTGCAATCTCCGTGAAAATTTTCCTTGTAGTGGCAGCGATCCACTACTTCCACAACCGACCAATCCATTACCAACCAATCAATTTCTCGAGTACCGTCACTACTACCGTCATTGGCAGCATTTCAACCCCAAAATGGGACCATAATTCAACATCCTTCCCACTTCCACGATATCCTGTCTCTACTACTACTACCGTGACAGCCAATTTCTACACAACCAGTAGTCAATAAATTTCTATTTCCTCGGGATGTACTACCAGCATCGATTGTCAGCACTCCAACTCCACCCCGGCACTCCCTTCTTCAGTGTCAATTTCCCAATACCATCAAAATCCCTTTCTTCTGGTCACTACTGTATTACTATAATGGAAAATCCCCGGCCCGGATCCCATACTATCGTATCCCGTCTTGCGTCACAGTCAAAAACTACAAATCGACCACTCTCTTCCGAAAACATCATCCATTTTCCAATGCCATCTGATTGCTTTCTACCACTACTACCAGGACGCCGATCTCGGTGTACACAATTAGACCGTCCTCAAATTCAAATTCCTCAAGAAGTACTTCGGGTACCACCGTCATTGGCAGCACTCCAACTCCAAATCCGTCACTCCCTTCTGGGGCGGTCATTCCATATCAATTCTATGAAAAAATCAAATTCCTTCTACCGCCCACTCCTCCCATGACGGCAAATCCCAACCATGATTACCAATGCTATCAAATCTTTTCTACTATTACTACTGTGATGGCAAAATTTGCACAATCAGCTGTTCATTTCTCATTCCTTGGGACCCACTATCGTCTTTGGCCACAATCAAACTCCAAATCGACCACTCTCCCTGGGACCATCATACAGCATCGGTTCTCAATGCCATCACGTCGTTCTTTCCCACTCCTAAGGGGACGCCAATTCACGGATACAGAATCAGCCATCAAATTCGGCCCCCAGGGGCCCTACTGCGGTCGTTGGCATCGCTCCTACTCCAAATCTACAACTACTTCCGTGCTGGCAACATCTCAATTCCCAATGTCATCAAATCTTCTCCACTATTACTACTGTGACCGCAAATTTTGTACAATCAACAGTTCATTTCTAATTCCTTGGGCCCTACATGATAGCTTTCTTTGGCCAAAGCATCACTACTACCGGATGCAAAATTCCCGTGTACACAATCTGCACTCAATATCTATTTTCCTTGGGTCTTACTATACCATTTTGGCAGCAGCCAAACCCCAAAGATTCGACCACTCTCTTCTGGGGCCACCATCATTCAGCACCATGTCCCACAGTACGGTCGTTCCGGTCAGCATTACTATTATTCAACATCATTTTCCGGATGCCATCGGCTCCGTTTACGCCAGTCCAAATATCAATCAATCTGCATATCCAATCATCCATCATCAATCTGTCCATCCAGCCATCTATGCTGTCACTCGTCTAGCCATCCATCATCCAGCCATACCAATACTATTTCGACAGTTCATATATCCATCAATATGTACATCTCTCAACTCCTCCAGCTAATTTTTCACCC